ATTTCGATTCGCATGCATATAGAAACAGATCATGCAGGAGGGGAGGGGAGGGAGGGAGGGGAGGGGGGGGGGGGGGGGGGGGGGGGGGGGGGGGCACACTGGTACCTATGGGGATGCCTGCTTCTTGCCTAAATGTATTATCTCCCAATTTCACATGTACTGCAGGGCAAAAGAAAGTATTCACTTGAAAAAGTGGATTTCACCAAAAAAATACAAACGTTCAAGTCTTTGAAAGCGATACACATGTGGACAATAATTTATGGATTTCAATGTCTTTATAATGAGGAACACAGCGTTTAAGAGTATATGATTACTTCTTCATCTGGTGAATGAATGCGATGAGACAGAGCGCATATATATGTACATGTAAGAACACCAAAAGAAAGAAGAGGTAGAAACATAACAAGGAGAGCCAACAGATAATTGGCGCTGATTAGTGATTAGGAATAGACAAAGGAGTAAGCATATGCTACGAAACCTTGTGTTCCTCATTACAAAGAAAGCTGACACACACACACACACACACACACACACACACACACACACACACACACACACACACACACACACACACACACACACACACACACACACACACACACACACACACACACACACACACACACACACACACACACACACACACACACACACACACACACTATGTAAGTGCAATTATCTTGGACGCGACGTTAAACCACATTTCATCTCACCTCACCTCACAATCGAATTGCCATTTCTGTTTCATTTTAGCAACCATCAAGCATATACTTTCTTTTGCCCGGCAGTTTAGCTGTTATTAATGAGGAAGTCCAGCATGTCGCGTATTGTTTTCTCAGTAAACTTCAGGTGACAATAACATCCATTTTTGACAAAATGTCCTGAACTTGTTACCTTGGGCAATTCTGTTTTGTTTTAACACTGTTTGTTTATCGGATTTCCTCATGCGTACTTGTACGTAAACAACTGAAGGTTAATGGGGTGGTTTACGCAAATACGCAGCTATCTCGAGCTATCGCAGCTATCTTAAGATTATTCTTCCGGCAGTCATCATACGAAATATCGATACATTGATATGTTGTACTGATTCCTCCCATCCTTAGCCATGTGACGATTCACCAACAAAGAGAACAAATTTTTAAACTTATCCTATCTCACACTATGCATCTCTCTTTCTTCTTTCGATTCTGAGTGGAAACGTATCTGAAATAAAAGTTTCCAGCTTCTAAAGTTAATTAACCCTGTCATACCTCACATCGTCACGGTCACCTCCCAGATCTGGGTCATGCGCGCTATGCATGCTGGTTGACCTTCTTGTACTGATCACGTGTCTATCCCAGTCAACTCATTCTCTTTCAAATCGCCACGCAGTGGTGACGTATTGTTATTACAGGAATCCATTTTGGGTTTTTCTTTTCGCTTGCAAGCGATCTTCATATTTTTGTCGTCTAATTGCCTGCAATTTTACTTATATCCCTGTTTGGGATAGTTATTCATCATAATGGACGAGCAGTCCACACGGAGACCTGTCTGCACTTTGTGCCGACGTGTTTTCTCCCTATCTGACCCTCATGCCCAATGTTCGGATTGTCGTGGATTATGCAGTTTTTTAGAGCGTTGCGAGCTCTGCTCCGATCTACCAGATGAATCCTTCAAACTGTACCTGCATAAATGTCGGCGTCGGGTGTCAGATCGTCTCTCTAAGACTGCAGAAAAATCCACGAAAGCCAAGAAAACACCGGTCAAGAAAGCGAGATCGGCCCGATCACCCTCACAGGCGGGCCAGAATACTAGGGATCAAACTGGTCCCATGATCTCGTTAGACGATGAGGGGGTCTCTGACTCTTTTCTCACAGACGACATGTCTAAGGTATCCACGAATCCACCTTCAAAGTCGAACCTACCCTCCACATCCCGAGACTCGGACATTCGACGAGTCCTCTCGTTAGACATGAGTGTGGATGACCGGCTTACGTCAGCCAACGTATCCAACCCGACCGAGGTTCGTACTTTCGACTCGTCGTATTCTACGACTAACATGGAGCTCGCTCCTGTTTTACCTTCGGAGGGTACACATGGTACTGGTACCTCGGTCGACCCTATAAGTTTGGTCCGTCGTTCGAAATCTCCCATACGACGATCTTCGCAGGATCGATCCTCTCAAGACCAGGAGTCGTATGACGACTCATCGGATCAAGGTTCACGAACCTCCCATTCCCGAGAGGATTCACAAGACGATAGACATTCGTCCCGGGATCGACTAGCATCGACAGTCAGTGCACTTTATTCAGTGCAATCATCGGGGGATCGGCATTCAGACTGGGACCAACGGACTTCTCACCCTCGACACCGAGATGATTCACCGAACATCCAACCATCTAAGGTTCCTCGTACTTCCGAACCTCGAACCTCCGAACACCGAACCTCCGAACACCGAACCTCCGAACTTGGACCCCCGAACCTCCGAACCTCCGAACCTCGAACCTACGAACATCGGGCCTCCGAACCTCGATCCTCCGAACTTCGAACCTCCAAACCTCGAACCTCCGAACCTCGAACCTCCGAACCTCGAACCTCCGAACCTCATCGAACCTCCGAACATAACCGACCCTCCGAACCTCGTCGAACATTCGAACATCGTCGAACCTCCGAACGTCGCTGTACTCCCGAGGTGCGACAGTCACGTTCGAATCGTACATCTTCGGACAAACAAAAGAGATTCGAGCCTCGTCGAACCTCTGAGGTTCAACGAACATCATCGAACCGAACTTCGAGGGACATACGGACTCCTAAGTATCGACACACTTCAAAGGAGGTTCAACGGGACACGAGAGTTCATAAAACCTCAAAGGAACAGAGACATTCGAGAGACTCGAATATGCGACGTTCACCTACAGATCGTTACTCGTCTTATGACAGGCGAGCGGATTATCGCTCATCCCCTTATCATGTCTCACGAAGAGACTATTCAGACCCATCACGTCTAGGCTCGGAGGATGAACGCTACAACGAGTCTATTAGCCATTCATCCTACATTTCTCGATCTTCTCCTTCACTCACCCATCCGGAGTTTCGACTAAGAGATTACCCTCACACTTTTGATTTTCATCAACGTGGTGATTACCCATGGAACACTACTTCATATAGTGCCTACGCACATGAGTTGGAACGACACCCACACTACAGGGATCCCCACCCTCCATGGCATGGGTATCCTCATGATCCAGAGTACAGACCTTATCGGTCAAGCTACATTTCCTCTTCTCGTCATGAGGATTCTCCTCGGCGACATAGAGATAGACCACTCAGATCAGCTACCGTTAGTAGATGTCCTTCACCTAAAGATAGGCAGAGTTCTACTTCACCTACTCGTCGTACCGGCTCCCCATCGCCACCTCCGGTTCGACGCCCTCCTGCTTCCTCTGAATCACAGACTCCTGCAACATCACAAGCTCCATCTCAAGCTATCCCTACATCATGGATCCCTAGCGAACTTTCTGCTATTCCAGCAGAACAGATTCGTTCTCTGTTACAGGCTGTAACAACAGTATGTCTTCCCCAACAGGCACCTGCTGTACCAACTACGGTACCTCTATCTGCATCGACACCCACTACATCCCTTTCAGTGGATCAACCACCAGAATCAGAGTCATCAGACCACTATACCTCCCCAGCTTCGTCTTCTGGGAGCTTCGACATAGCGGATCCGATCACTGTACTTATCTGGATAGCAGATAAGTTACAATTGTTAAAAAGCACTTCAACGGAGGACACTTTATCATCATTTGTTGTGCCTTCAGCCTCGTCGCCGAACATCACACTCCCTCCGAGACCAGTCCTACAGGATATGGCCACCAATTTAGACAAAGCATTTGGATCCTTTCGCCGTCTTCGTGATCGGCTTCAATCTCCACGCTTTGTATTGGCGGATGCAGGGACTCATGGCTTGTCTACGATTTCTCCCGAACTAGATGGTGACATGGCAACATTAGCTCCTAAGCGTCCGTACTCAGCTTCTTCAGTGGATGACAGGGACCTCGTTCACCTCGACACCACTGTTCGAAGGACCCTTCCGTTGGTCTCCACTATTTTATCAGCAACTGAAGCACTTTCGTCGGCTCTAGCTCATGCATCTTCCTCAGAAGAATCCTGTATTCGAGGTGCTGTGACCCTCATCCAGGATAAAACGACAGCTATACTAGACCTCCTTGCTCACCATGAGGGATCTATCACTTCTCTTCGTAGACGGGGGGTGTTACAACATTGCTCATGGGATGATCAATTTAAGAACAGGCTGTACCAAATGCCATGGTCAACACCCTCCCTTTTTGCTGGGCGCATACAGGAGGTTGCCCATGAAGTCCAAAGAGACACTTCCCTGCAAGTCACTGTTGACTTACTTCGTCTCCAGAAAAATCAACTGGAAGAACAAAGGAAAGACCGAAGACGACCAACCTTTACTCCTTCTCAACAAGACCTTAGAGAAGTTTTGAGTAATAGGTCTGCTTCTTTTCGTGGCCGTGGCCGAGCACGCCAACATCAGCGAGGAGGGAAATCAGGCGGACGCACCGTCTCCTTTTCAGGGACTAAAGGAAACACTAACTCTCCTAAGCCAGGAGACACTAACCACAAATGACTCACTACAACAGCAGGACGACTGGGACCTTCCGACTCCAGCCATTCCGATTTTCTCGTCTCCCGTAGGCGGAAGACTAGGCATGTTCGCTTTAAACTGGACCATCCTAGACGACCCATATGTGTCTCGTCTCCTACAAACAGGTTATCCTCTACCTCTTGCCACCACACCTCCGACGACGTGCAAACCGCCTCAACATCTGTATCCAGCCAAACAACTTCCAGTTCTCATAGACACCATAAACACGTTACTTGTAAAGAACGCAATAGAGTGTCTGGGCACTCAGCCAATGACACCAGGGTTCTATTCTCCAATTTTTCTGGTTCCCAAGAAAAACAGTCCTTAACTGCGTCTCATCTTCAACATGAAAACCTTCAACAAACTATACCTAGAGACTCCTCCACACTTTCGCATGACATCAATCGCTCTACTACGAACGATTATTCATCCCGGCGACTTCATGATCAGCCTAGATATACAAGACGCATACTTACACGTCCCTATCCTGCCAGAGCACCGCCATTTTCTTCGGTTTGTGTTCCTAGGCCAACACTACCAATGGCGAGTGCTCCCATTTGGAATTTCTTCGGCCCCGTGGCTATTTACTCGCCTCACAAAACCCATCGTCAAGTTCCTACACACTCGAGGCATCGTCTTCGAAACGTACATCGACGACTGCATTCAAGCCAACAAGGATTCGAACACTCTACTTCATCACCTCGATTTCTCTCAACGCCTACTTCATCAACTAGGTTGGATCATCAACCCAAAAAAGTCCGAAACTATTCCAACACAACGTCTCCAGTTCATCGGAGCCCTCTTCGACACGAGTCTGGGCAAGATGTTTGTACCCCAAGATCGTTGGGAGAAAATCCAACGCCTCGTTCCATTGGCACTCAAACAGCCAATTTCCTTACGTCAATGGCAACAACTTCTCGGTCTCCTAACATCAGCACAAGCCCTCACCAAGAGAGGTCAACTTCACTTACGGCCAATCCAGTGCTTCCTCAAGCCCTTCCTTCAGGACGACGATTGTCAGGTTCTAATATCTCTTCCAAACCATCTACACCCACACCTCAAATGGTGGTTAACTCCATCAAATGTCTGCGAAGGAGTCTCCTTGCAACCATTCAGCCCGACCCTCCACCTGTTCGTCGACGCCTCAACCGTCGGATGGGGAGCTCATTGCCAAGACCTACAAGTGGCAGGGCGGTGGTCATTAGAAGAAAGCCAGCTTCACATCAACAATCTAGAATTCAAAGCAGTGATTCTGGCAGTGTCTCATTGGTCAACACTCCTTCAGTCCTCCACACTAATGATTCAGTCAGACAACCTATCGGTCGTGTGGTACATAAACAAGATGGGATCCACCAAGTCAACGTCACTTCTATCTCTAGCACTCGACTTCTTCAAACTGATCGACTCACTCAACATTCAAGTTCGAGCGAGACATATTCCCGGCATCGCCAACGTCATAGCCGACTCCCTGTCCCGACCCGACAAACCATCTCCCACGGAATGGCGTCTACATCCCGTGATTTTTCAGTGGATTTGCCAGTTATTTCCGTGCCCAGACGTCGACCTCTTCGCAACCCGCTTCAATACTCAGCTATCCCGGTTCGTATCTCCTATCCCAGACCCCCTAGCCTGGGACCACGATGCGTTAGCAATCCCATGGGAAGGACTACATGCTTACGCCTTTCCCCCAACTGGCATTCTACATCGGGTTCTACAGAAGATATCAACGACCAATCGCCTCACTCTACTTTTGGTCGCGCCCTACTGGCCAACACGCAGTTGGTTCATAACGCTCATTCGTCTCGCAGACAGAAAGTTTTACCATCTACCTCTAAGGGACGATCTTCTGCATCAACCACACTCTCAGCTCCGTCATCCGTCGCCAACAACCCTCAATCTATGCGTTTGGCGCATTTACAGAAATCATTGATAGCTAAGGGTTATTCTGAACGAGTGGCCAAGACCATTGCGGGGGCGCACAGGTCATCTACTAAAGCACTATATGACCATAAATGGAAGGCATTTGAATCGTTTTGTCATTCACATGACATTTCCACACCTGCCACGGCATCCCCGCAACAAATTGCTGAATACCTTCACTATCTTCGATCATCTCGTAAACTAAAAGGTTCGACTCTAGCTACCTATTTAGCTGCGATCAATTCTGTCATCGCAACTACAACGGGCACCAAGATTTCAACAATCGCCGAATTACAATCATTGATCAGATCGTACAAGTTGGCGGACCAAACATCACGTTTTCGACCACCAACTTTGGATCTAAACATCATACTTCGCCATCTAACGTCGGCCGAGTACGAACCTCTCGTCGAGAAAGATTTCGAACACATTTCTTTGAAGACAGTTTTCCTTCTGGACCTTGCAACGGCGGCTCGAGTGAGTGAAATTCACGCTTTAGACGTCAACAGAGTGCGTTTCGAACGAACTGCACATGGGAAAGTATTTTTGGGACTACGATGGGATTTCATCGCCAAAAATCAACTCCCTGGTCAACCCGATCGACTATTCAGTATCCCACCATTGACTGCCCTCTTAAACCCTGACGAAGACATATCGTTGTGTCCGGTACGCGCACTTAAAATCTATCTGGAAGCGGCGAAACCACTTCGTCGATTACGTAAGAGGTTATTCATCCCGCTCTCTGCGGCAGCTACTACGGAGGTATCCCGTACCACAATCTCGTTTTGGATACGCTCAGTGATCCTTCGAGCCTACACCTTCGCTGGCCTACCTGCTCCAGTCGCATCTAATCCTCACGAAACCCGTGCTGTCGCTTCCACCATGGCACTTCACAGTAATTGCTCCTTGACCGCAATTATGGAGGGATTTTTTTGGAAATCCGATACCGTGTTCGCATCCCATTACCTCCGAGACATCTCAGTGATGGACGTTCAAGGCCTTCACCAGTTTGGACCCTTGGTACTCGCACAACAGATCTCCAAGACACACCTGCGCAGATAGGGAGATGTATAACCAGATTTTCATTACATTACATCCATCTCTATTTATAATAAACATTTGTCATGATTATTGGTGTTTATTGTATTCATTCGGGCTTCCCAGACTGAGTATCCGGTTGGAGGGTATAATCACTCGTCTGTAGAGACCTTGGTCTTCAACTTGAAGTCGTCATTAGACGCGGCCGATTTCGGTGTCCCGATCCCTTATTTCAAACACCTCTACTTTAGGTATGTGTGGTGAGTAACGGATCGATGATCCTTTTGTGGATATTGTTGATCGTTTCCTCTTCTCGTTTTTTACCCATCGATTCAATCACTGACATGATTGAGGGTTTGACGAAGCGATAAAAGAGATGCCGAGCGGGTCCAACCTATCGTCCTCTGGAGATAGGAATACCCCGTCTTGTAGATTCGACGACTGGATGTATACTCTCTCGAATATAAGTCGTACTCGTTCGTTTTAGACATGCGATTACGCTTGATTACGTTTGAACATGTTACACATGTTGTACCCGACTTATTGTGTTTCAGTTGTTCACGTATCAGGATCTCAACATTCTTTGAGAGTGTTCTTCTTATCCTGTCTACGAGTTGTTGTTTTTGTGTGTTGTTTTTTTTTTTTTTTTTTTTTTTTGTCTTACGACACTTAACTGTGTTACTGTATTAAGTATTGTACCACTGTTAAGTTCCAGCTTCCTCGTAAATATCCTACGGTTGTGATCTATAGACAAGGGAGTTGCGCCCCACCATCCAACCGTGGGATAAAATGCATAGTGTCAGATAGGATAAGTTTAAAAATTTGAAAATTTTATTATAAATTGTATATTTATATACTTATCCTATCTCACACGTTATATGCCCACCCGTCCATCCCCACATCGCAATTCCTTAGTCTATATGCTCTTGAAAGAGAATGAGTTGACTGGGATAGACACGTGATCAGTACAAGAAGGTCAACCAGCATGCATAGCGCGCATGACCCAGATCTGGGAGGTGACCGTGACGATGTGAGGTATGACAGGGTTAATTAACTTTAGAAGCTGGAAACTTTTATTTCAGATACGTTTCCACTCAGAATCGAAAGAAGAAAGAGAGATGCATAGTGTGAGATAGGATAAGTATATAAATATACAATTTATAATAAAATTTTCAATTTTCAAGATGAAGGGACACTCATCTTTATTTTAATGTGAACCACCACTCCAAAGAAATAACTCTGTTTAACTCTGTAACATACTAAACAATGCAAATATGAAACATATCATATTTTAAGGTGTTTGCATTATTAAACTGGCATCACGATGAGGCAGCATATATTCACACATACATCCGGTCGTGTAGGTCAATATTTGGTGCATCCACCATGTTGGGCGATTAATAATAATAATATAGTTTATTACAGTGTCATGTGTTACAAAGTAATACAACATTTAGCACATACTTAAAATACAAACACCAGGCCTCAGAGGGCCGAAATGACACCTTAAGATATTACAAATATTAAAATACAATTAGATATAAAAAGTAATCATGCACATTCTTAATATCTACATATACACATATTCTCTAACACAATCACATAATGCATGCATGCATGCATGCATACACACATACATACATACGCACGCACGCACGCACGCACGCACGCACGCACGCACGCACGCACGCACACACAATCAATCATTCTAATATTCTCCCGCACATATACTAAACAGACACCCAAACACATTCAGATATACCCCACCCCCTCACTCGAGACATACACACACACACACACACACACTCAACCTTACTCACACCCATACACCCATACCCAAATTCCTGCATCTACACACACTCCATATCCTTTCTTCTGACCATACCAACATTCATATCCCCTCCCCACTCACACCCATGACCCATAACCTCACACACTCAATTACACTTTTCATATTAATGCAGGACACCTTGATGGCATACTGTTGATTAATTTGCGTACGGTTCCCCTTGCCATTGTCCGCCAAGAGCTACCCATAACTGGGCCACGTTGGCGGGTGCTGAGTCTCTGGCGAACACTCTCCGCCCGAGAACATCCCACAGATGCTCATTGGGGACGTGCCAGGGGACTGAGTGGGCCACGTTGGCGGGTGCTGAGTCTCTGGCGTACACTCTCTGCCGGAGAACATCCCACCGATACTCATTGGGGACGTGCCAGCGGGTAGGTCGAATGCCCTTATGCAATCTCGTCGGAGATATTCGCTGGGCACGATGTGCTCTGGCATTGTCTTCTTGCAGTTTCTGCCGATAATCCTAGCGAATGGAACGACAGGACGCAATATTGCGTCAAACTATAGGTGGCGAGTCACATGTCCATTCACAATAAACAAATCAGTTCACCTGTCAGTTGTGATACCGTGCCACACCATGACACTAATGCCCCAATACCGATCATGAACTGTAGCCCTGGCATAGCGCTCACCGCTACGTCGCCAACAAGATTTTCCGCCATCTGTGACTCGGAGGCAAAACCATGATTTGTCTGTAAACAGGGTGTAACGCCTTTGGTGCACAACCCGCCCATAGTGTTGCCCGTCCTACCCAAGTCTTTGTTGAATTTCGCCTTCCTCTTATTGTATGGATTTCTGTTTTGATAACAGGAGCATAATTGAATCTATTGATGTAATTTTTGTTGGTTTGTTTTTTGTTTAACGCCGCACTCAGCACTATTCCAGCTATATGACGGCGGTCTGTAAATAATCGAGTCTGGACCAGACAATCCAGTGATTGACGTATTGATGTAATTAATGTAATGAGACAATCCTGACTAGGTGTTATCTGTTTCACACATGCCACGCCCATGTGTCATTGCAACCCCAACCGTTTGATACTACTTGTCCCACAGTCGAGAAATTAACCTTTTTTATTTGCCAAACATTCGGCAAATTGGCAAATTGAAGTACCCCCACAACCGTACCTACAATTCGCCGTTTTTCCTGTTCATTGAGATACTGCCTCGGAGGCATTGTAAGCGTAGCTCAGTTTCATTTGTGATTGTGAGTTCCCCTTTTGGAGCACACAATGTTGCTTCAATGTGAAGGTGCATAACGTGCTGCTTCTCTAATGAGAAATTGAATTGTGATTAGATCTTGCGTTCAGATGCAAGGCAACGGTATTGTAAATGTACACCTCAAGGACAGCTACATTCAAATCATTAGTTCCCTTAGTTTTTAAAATAAATTGCATTCAATAGTATAACATTCCTGACGACTAATCATTGTCCAAACACAATCCAGTCCAATGTTGTCGGTAGTATACATGGAGAGTAGCACGGGCTCTTCTCTCAAATCCTTCCCCCGAAACCATGGGCGGCCATGTAGCTTCATTCTCGTAATTAATTATATCACTTAAAGGGCAAGTTCACACGGAAATGAACCAATTTTTCTTGTACTTTTTCCACATTAAAAGTGTTAACATAGAAGTGTCATAGACAAAAATATAAAAACATCATATTTAATTAACATATTTTTTGCATTAAAACGATTTATATTTTTCACATTTACCAAGTGTTCTATTTCCATAACAAAAACACCATGGCTTATGCCCCTTGCAATATGACGTCATTGGTGCCAATTGATAAACATTATGACGTCATCATGCTTTGTTAGAGCCGCTTCACGTGGTGTAGGTACAGTTTTGTGATTCTAGCGTCTCAGATGCCAGCCAGAATTGTGTTATGCTGAGTCACCACTGCGCCGGAGTGTGTCGTAGGCCATGTTGTTTTACCGAAAACTTGTACTTGATATCTTTTGCGTTCAGAATAGACAGGGACCCAGTTGAATTGGCACCAATTACGTCATAATCTAAGGGGGATAACTCAGGCCTGTTTAGCTCGAAAAACGAAGGCCTCATAACGGCATATCATTTTCACACTATTGTGAGCTTCCTACTTTCACTGTGAAAAAAATGAGTTTACATTTTCAAACACAGACATTAACTAATTCTAAAATTGCGTTTTGTTTAGAAAAAGAAAGAAAGTGATTTTTGCGTGTACACTTCCCCTTTAACATTGGACAATGTATTCACGCAGTAAACAAAGATCAGGGCCGACGGAGGTCGTATGTCCTTCAACGAACACAAGCTGTGCTGCCCACAGCTGGTGACTTTCTAATCTGTTGGAACAATGCGGTGGTTAGGACAGTCAACGAACCAGCAGATTTCGTTAAGGTTTGTAATCTTGTTGGTGTTTGTTTTCGCGAGGCTATATCACAACGGATAAATACCATCCGTATGAACAATAACAACCACCTTAATTCACTCTAGGGAATCACCAGCGGTGGAACTTGGTCAAAACAATTCATTAAAATTACACATATAACATGACACGTCCAGGATGACAAGTCCGTCAACACAATGATTGAATTCATTCTTTATGAATAAACAGTAACGCTGTGTAGAATATTTTTCGGATAAACATTGAACTCTACATGTACAGATGATACAAACAGTGTTACATTGTTCAGAAAGTATGTTATGAAGTAACAGCATGTAACCTTGTAGGTCATAATTTCAAATTTTTCAAAAAACAAGTTTATACCAATGTATTATTTGTTTATGCAGACAAGTCTACTCCAACAATTGCCAAAGTACAATAAACACAATGGATCTGTCTTCAATTAAGATAGTAGTCAGGAATAAGATGAACTTCGATGTTTTCTTGATAACAGATATATGTTTGGTGTTCAATAGTTTAGCAAACAAATATTTCTTAACCAATCGTTATAATATTTATTAATCAAAATAGCCCGTTTATTGGAAAGCGACTTACAACGAAACAGGTAGTCCCCAAGTGCATTTGTATCACCCAGTGTACTTGGGCGGTCTTCATGAGGTATACCTGCCCCTCTACCCGTCTCTATTGGCAATTTATGGTTACATGTACGGAAGAAAAGTAAAGGTTGGGAAACATTTCGAGGCAGTAGCAAGTAATTTTCAAATGATGGATCGTCTATAAGATATCTGAAGTAATTCCCCTTTGAAGAATTGACGAAACCACTTCTCCATGACTGGATAAACTGAAGACGGGGGGTATTCTCAAGTTGACTTAAAATGTATGCTTTGTTACAGAGACCATATCGGTATATGGTCTCTGTTTGTTATAATAAAAAAAGACGCGACATCAGTTTTATGCTGTGAAGACTGACTCAGCTTTCAATTGATGTCGGGGCTTGGATTATTTGTATGTTTGTGGATGAATATGAATCATTTCCTTAAAAACGGATAGACTAGACAAATTTTCATCTTGTATTGTTAGTACATTTCCTGATAATCGTCAGTTTGGTTTTGAGGGAGGTGCGATAGTGTCCTTGTATTTAAAAAATAAACGACGGTGAGAGTTGTTTATCGTACAATGAAACACTGCCGGGAGAATAAACCATGAGGTGTGAAGCCCCGAGTTGTTAATTTTCTCTGCAGTGTTTTATTGTATGATAAACAACGACCACGAGTTGTTTATTTCTTATATGAGATATCAACATTACGTATAGCCTCTTTAAGGATGTTACTAAAACGCACAAGCTTTCACAAATATTTACCCGTATTGTAATAATGACTCCCTGAATCGAATCCGAAATCGGCAATGTCGGATAAAGTCCATTTTATGCACAGGTGGGTATTTCCCGTATATTCTCACAATCATCACGTCAGTTACCTGTACCTTTTCTCCCAATACCGATTGTCATATCCCTCCCGCTTTGGGATGCGATCGTTCGGTCATCACGTTTATCTGCGGTCATCACGTTTATCTGCGTTGCCCAGCTACATCTATGGGAAACAACAAGCTAGACACCCATACCTCGTGGGTTTCACCGAAGTGGTAAACGTCTCAGACCAGCATCACTTCGGGATTTCCTCCCACATTAAGCTGACATCCCAAGTGCAAAGTTGTCCCACACAATTGATCTTGGTGCGTTAGGTTTGGTACGTCCCAATCTGTTGTCTGACATTGGGAGAGTACCCAGGTTTGCTGCCAGGAATACAGCCCTTCTGACAATCTGGGTAATGCAGACGGCTGCAGTTTGGGGGAGTCTTCACATTCTCCGAAAGGTTTCTGTTGGTTTCGACTCGGCAGTGCTTCCTGGGAGAAGTCCAATTCGCTGTCTGGGCTGCGTGCAGGGGGGGGGGGGGGGGGTGATGATGATTAGCCTAACCAGCCCGACTGTGCCAGGATCCCCTAAACCCTCTTTGCTGCATTCATTTATTTTAATCTGTATAATAATAATGACATGGTACGACTCAGAATATGTAGAGGACCTCATGGAAAAACGATAAATACAAAATTCTTTGGAATAGGCCAGTATACAACCTCAGACCTATCCAGACCCCAAAACTGATCATGTCCTTTTTGATAAATACACTGAAATCATTCATATCATTGAAATTACTGTCCCTTTTGACACTATTGTGATTGACAAGAATCGGGGAAAACATGGCAAATCTGCGGACATCGCTTTGAAATGTAACGCTTGCATCCCAAGTACCAAGTAACTGGTAAAAGATTTTAATGAGATTGTTTGGAATATCATCACATTTTACTTGTCATCGGTAGTGAAAGACATGCTTACCGTTTCGTGAACACCTGGTGTCATCACTGATATTTAGTGACCCATTCATATAATTTTCACCACTATTTTGATATTTACACCCAATGGAATCTGTTTCATCAGATAACGAAGACTGGTTATTCTCTGGCATTAACGTTTCATATACTGAACTAAATAAAGGTAGGGATCATGAATATATTTTGGGTCATTTTGATGAAACTGTGTGCTCAGTCAGTCAACACTACAAAAACCTTTCCCCCCAAACATTCATGATCTCTAACATTTTTTGTTCAGTATATGTACAACAGTGTCAGTAATATTTCAGTATTGTCGAATAATCGAGTCTGGGGCAGACAAAACATGTGATTGATATCATGAGCAACCAAGTCACAGAGCCCCCTGATCCACCTGACCAATCCTTGTTTTAGCCTCTTAATGCTGTGCGCCAGGAAGTGTAACAACAAGAACCATATTTTAACGTCTTTTGGTATGACTAGACCGGGATCGAAAACCTAACTTTCCGCTCTCTGAGCAGATGCTCTACCACTAGACCATGGAGTCAGTCCAGAATCCCCAGAACACACAGCAAACACAAGTACTGATTTCCAACAATACACACATTTATTCCTCTGTTGCTCATACATTATCCACACACACACACACATGGAGTCTCTACGTTCTTGTGGCCTGGACTCTGGTTACTGTGTTCTGGTGGTGGAAGCTCTGTAGTGTGGAGTGGTACAGAGGAACACCCTTCAACACCTGGGAGGAACACGACGTCACCTGGAACACCAGCAGTAGCAGTGAAAGATAGGGTGATATTATAGTGAGTGAGTGAGTGAGTGAGTGAGTGAGTGAGTGAGTGAGTGAGTGAGCGAGCGAGTGGAGTTTCATCCCCATCTTCAGTAATATTCCAGTCATATCACAGTTGTTCCTTGTGACCTGTGAAATAACTTTCTACGATGCTTCCCCACCCACTAAATGAATCACAGATCTCTTATAACCCACCTAACATGATTTGTTGTTTGTTTGTTGTTTAATGCCACACTCAGCAATATTCCAGATGGCGGTCTGTAAATAATCAAGTCTGGACCAGACAATCCAGTGATTGATAGATATCATGAGCATCGATCCTCGCAATTGGCATACAAAGACATGCATCAACGAAGTCAGCGAGCCTGCCCACCCGATCCTGTTATTTGCCTCTTATGACAAGCATAGTCGTCTTTTAAGGCAAGCATGGGTTGCTGAATCGGGTATACCTTACATGAACAAATGCAGGATAGGTTTAGGTGGCTAAACCCTGTTTATCTGGGAACTCCACCTTCAAGCGGGTTCCGGCTGGAAATTGTTTGTATGCAAAGAAAATGAAACTACTGTGTGCCAATGATTCAGTGTCAAGAAACTTGATAATCCAGATGAATTCAGCAGAAATGCTACCAGATTACCAGGGTTTCCTTTTAATATAAGTGAGTGAGTGAGTGAGTGAGTGAGTGAGTGAGTGAGTGAGTGAGTGAGTGAGTGAGTGAGTGAGTGTGTGAGTGAGTGAGTGAGTGAGTGAGTGAGTTGGGTTTAACGCCGCTTTTTAACATTATTCCAGTTATATCATGGCGTGTCAGCTTAATGTGGGAGGAAAGCCCGAAGTGATGCAGGTCTCAGACGTTAACCACTTCGGTGAAACCCACGAGCATGGGCATGGTGCTGACAAACCTAGAAACATAATCGGGGCGAACCAGGATTCGAACCCACAATCATAGGTTTTTTATATAGGATGTTGCATGCATAGTTATGGTAGTTGAGTAGATAAAGCTGTAGTGTGGACTACCTGCACCACCACATAGTCCCCAGGGGAGACAACCCGCTGCTGTTTGGACCCCGCACAAGACGGCACATCCATCTTGGGGAATATGACTTTAGTGTTGGCATCGTTTCGCCCTGCGAACTCCTGCACACTTTTCTTACTGTCCTGTAAAAAGGATAAAAAGTATATTAAATAGATCTACTCATGAAAATACTTTAAATCAAGACTAAATCTTAGTGAGTGAGTTAATGAGTGTGTGAGTGAGTTGGGTTTAATGTCGCTTTTAACAGTATTCCAGTTATATCACGGCGTGTCAGCTTAATGTGGGAGGAAAGCCTGAAGTGGTGCAGGTCTCACATTTACCACTTCGGGGAAGCCTTCGGTATTATGCTGACAAACCTAGAAATATAATATGGAGGAACCGGGATTCGAACCTACAATGATAGGTTTCTGGTGTACCCAAGGGACGCAACACTGCACAGTGAATTGCGGCGCCTTAGACGACTGGACCACCCGTGCCCACACAGAGATTGACTTGATAGGAACACCAGGCTAATGCCACTCACCCCTTCAACAAGGACCAGGTGCTGGCAGCCAATCTGAGCTGTGTGGAGCTGCTGGGCTCCCTGGCGGAAAGCTCCTATCAGCTCCATGTGGCGTCTTGACTTGACATCCTCGGGAACATCATCACTAAGGCGATGGTAGGCTCGAGTTTTCTGGATACATGAATATACAATTAATTGAGCTGTTGAATAATATGGCAATATATGTATAAAAGATTAGGATATTTCCACAGCAATCACAAATGTATAAACATGATAAACAAGAGATGGCGAAGATATACCGATAAAAGCGTCTGTGAACTGTTTCCATAATCCTCCCCCAGGATGCAGAATTGTCTGTTTAGTTCTTACTATTTGAAAATCACGAAAATGTATTTTGTATGGTAAAAATATCATTTATACTTATCCTGACTCATACTAATTGCTTTTCTCTACTCATTTCCAAGAGGTAGTGGAAACTTCCAGTGCTGTGTTCCCAAAGAACAGAAAAAAACTCTCACCCGAATGCACCCTGTTCTGTGCAGGGGCACCACAACGATGTGACCAAGCGAGATTCTCATCATTTTCCTACTTAATGGTCCAAAGACACATCAGGGGACAGTGGGGACGGTTTGGAGGGTACTCATGCATATGAGTCAAGATAAGTATAAATGATATTTTTATCATGAAAAATACATATTTTACCTTATCCAGACTAATACTAATTGCTTGAATCTCACAGTTGGCGTTGGGTTTCATGTGCAAGTGTTATTCAGTCATGATCTATTCTCTAAACCCTGAGGGAACATGGTTAGACATTGTGTTGGCTCTTCTTCTGTCTGAACCACCTGCTTTTTCATAAAAAGGAGCAAATCTTATGATTTCATGGGTTTGATAAGGATTACAAAGAAATAATTCCAGTTGGTCTAAAACGATTTTGGTGTTGAGAGAAGGACGTAAACTTTATCGTCTTCACGCATATTCTGGATTACTTAGTAAAACAGGGGAGCATGGACTCTCGGTCGGTAGTTATGGAACAGTAACCTGACGTCAACAAGTCTACGTGATTGTGGGTCAGTATGACTTCTTGTCTATCTTCTTGTAGGTACCGTTAGTTGCTATGCAACTACTAGTGGTCCAAATTCCTGAATGCCAGCAACATTCCTGTGGCAAAATCTCAGAGATAATGATTTCGCAAAGTGGGTATCAGATCTCCAGAAAGAACTTATCCTTAATGGTGGTGATGGAGCAGTTACTGTGAAGGGCCAGTGTGGAAGCTATGGCTCTGACTTAGTGTGGGTTGGACACTGAAGGTGGGTCTAACCCTGCTGCCCTGTAGGCTCTGAATGGAGCTGCTCTCATCCAGGAGGAGATCAGTGTTCTGGAGAATTGTGCAAATGTTTCCTCCCTCAAAGGGGCTCTAAAACTACACTTACATATAGTGTATATTTTCATGCCAAAAATGGGGGTGAGGAGTATTTAAGAGCCAAAAAAATCCAAAAATCTAAACCAAATCCAAAAAATAATCATTAGATATGATGAATGCATCATTTAAGAATGTAATCCGAGTAAAAGATTTTATTGAAAAAGGTCAACATTGACAGGATGGCTTGGATTACTGAGCACAGAAAAATTTCCCAACTGGCTCGTTGGAGCGAAAATGAGAGAGTGACGTGTCAACTGGAGTGGGCACACAGTTCCGGTGCACCTGTACGGGACAGAGATGCACTCGGTTGAGATATTTTTCTGTTCTCTGGGAACACAGTACAGGAAGTTTCCACTACCTCTTGGGAATTGGGAAGAGATTAGCAATTAGTATGAGTCAGGATAATGTAAAATATATCATTCATATTCTAACTATTAAATACAAGACACTAGCCCAGCAAAATTTTAAAAACAATATTTGTTGATCATTCTTTAAGTAAACAGTAGTCCTCAAACACAAAAACTACAGTGATGCTGGCTCTCAAACACAAGACACTACGGTAACACTAACAGCAGCTCTCAAACAGACACTACAGTAACAGCAGCTCTTAAACAGACACTACAGTAACAGCAGCTCTCAAACAGACACTACAGTAACAATAACAGAAGCTCTCAAACACAGACAGACACAGCTGACAGTGCAGTTCCCTCATCCATACCTGTCTCATGCTGTAGGGAAAGCAGTAGGCAAAGTTGTACTTCACTTGTCTGATGAGGTCCAGAGTGTCGTGATGAGCCGCCTCTGTCTCCCCACAGAAACCCGCAATGAAGTCACTTGTCAAGGCCACCCCTGAAGTAGACAGACCATGTTGACTGCTGACAGGGAGTGGTGGATATGTCACCTCTTTGATTTCCATTTAAATATTTGTACCATTAGAACAGCTGGAATACTCAGGTGTAGCTGACCAGGTGAGGTCAGCTGATATGAGGCTTAACTTCACATTGAGATTGTTGCACTTGAATAGAAACGTGCATGCAGGTGTGCAGCTGGTTGTACTAGTCCGGACTGATGCCGATTTATAGTGCTATCCCACTGAGATACCATGCCACAGTTTAAGATATATACTGACTCCAAATCGACCTGCCTTTCCTTTATCCTCCAAATGCCTAGGTCCAGGCAGGGTTACAACAAGTACCATCTTCTAACAGGAACGACCTGACGTAAACCGACCAGGCAGGATGGATCTGATGTTAACCTACCAGGCAGGATGGACCTGACGTTAACCTACCAGACAGGATGGACCTGACGTTAACCTACCAGGCAGGATGGACCTGACGTTAACCTACCAGGCAGGATGGACCTGACATTAACCGACCAGGCAGGATGGACCTGACGTTAACCTACTAGGTAGGATGGACCTGACGTTAACCTACCAGGCAGGATGGACCTGACATTAACCGACCAGGCAGGATGGACCTGACGTTAACCTACTAGGTAGGATGGACCTGACGTTAACCTACCAGGCAGGATGGAGCTGACATTAACCTACCAGGCAGGATGGACCTGACGTTAACCTACTAGGTAGGATGGACCTGACGTTAACCTACCAGACAGGATGGACCTGACGTAACCTACCAGGCAGGATGGACCTGACGTTAACCTACCAGGCAGGATGGATCTGATGTGACTGACCAGGTCCAGGTAGGCCTCCCTGGTGTAGCCTCGTCTCATGGCAGCCAACACCTGATTGTTGCCGCTCTGGGCCGGCAGGTGGATCTGAGTACAGATGTTGGGCGTCTCTTGAATCAGATGCAGCACCTAACATGTGAAACTGATGTTAGACTGAAATGACATAACATAATTCATCCTGAGACACTATCTTATTCTATTTTTTGGCATTTTGTTCAAAGAATGACATTACAAGTCATGGTGAATCTAATGTAGACAGATTCAGAACATTCATGTCAGCCATCTTGAATCTAGTGGTTTCCGCTTCCAAATATAAAGCAGTGCACATAGATATTCTAATTATATTTTAGTGGTGCTTCAACTAATGGTTTGCTCATTTCACAGATGATAGGTGTGAATTCTACTTTAAACTCAGGCAGAATGTCCACCAAAAACAAATGACCAGGAGAACCAGCTCAAGAGCCAGGTGTACCAAGTTGTGTTGAAGGGAGACAAGACTTTTGCTAATAGCTACAGCCAGTCCTAGCAAACTTGGGGATAAGTCTTCTTCTTGTCTCTTTGTTGTTGTTTTTTTAAAAACATTTTTTTTAGTAATTTCAGTGGGATGTTACATTTCCACATGTTCAGGCATAATTGTTTCATGTACATTGTCAGGTCAAGTATGTGACTGTGAGATGCAGTCAGACAGAATGCATATATGATGTTCTGCAGAAAAAATATTCCTCTTGACATATGGACAGTGGGGACATCAAGTTGATCTAACAAAAGGATCAGGTGTTAGATATTTTCTGATATAAGTGAGTGAGTGAGTGAGTGAGTGAGTGAGTGAGTGAGTGAGTGAGTGAGTGAGTGAGTGAGTGAGTGAGTGAGTGAGTGAGTGAGTGAGTGAGTGAGTGAGTGAGTGAGTGAGTGAGTGAGTGAGTGAGTGAGTGAGTGAGTGAGTGAGTGAGTGAGTGAGTGAGTGAGTGAGTGAGTGAGTGAGTGAGTGAGTGAGTGAGTGAGTGAGTGAGTGAGTGAGTGAGTGAGTGAGTGAGTGAGTGAGTGAGTGAGTGAGTGAGTGAGTGAGTGAGTGAGTGAGTGAGTGAGTGAGTGAGTGAGTGAGTGAGTGAGTGAGTGAGTGAGTGAGTGAGTGAGTGAGTGAGTGAGTGAGTGAGTGAGTGAGTGAGAGGTTTTACGCTGCTTTCAGCAATATTCCCGCAATATCACAGCAGTAATGAGTGAGTACAGTTCTGTGTTGCTTTTAGCAAGATTCCAATATTCCAGCAATATCATGACAGGGGACAGCAGGAATGGGCTTCACACAATTTATCCATGTTAGGAATCAAACTCAGTCCTTCAGCATGACAAGCAACCACTTTAACCACAAGGCTACCCCACTGCCACTACAGTGCCTGTGACAGTATGTACTTGTCACAACTGTGCTCACTGTGCTTCAGTACCAGCAATCAGAGACACACAAGCCCTCAAAGGCTCAATAATAAACTGGAATCTGGAAACCAAAATCTCAAAATGCTACCTCTGTTTTACACATTCTTACTTCATCAGGGAAGTCTTTCGGGTGAGGTGACGTGAATCTGATTCTCATCTCGGGGTCAACCGACGCCACTTTCTCCAGCAGCTCAGCAAATCTCAGGCCTCCCTGGCGGGGCTTGTACACCGTCCTGAAACCGGCACTCAGCTGGGTGGCGCCAATTTGGGGAGTCTGCTCCGAGCTATCACGGTAACTGTTGACATTTTGTCCGAGCAGAGTTACCTCCCTTACACCCTATGAACACAGAACATGTGCAACATCAGTGGCTGTTTGTTTGTTTGTTTGTTGTTTACTCTCACCAATATTCCAGCTATATGATGGTGGTCTGTAAGTAATCAAATCTGGACCAGACAATCCACTGATTGACATCATGAGCATCGATCTACGCAATTGAAATAAGATGACATGCATCAACCAAGTCAGCAAGCCTAACCCCCCAATTTCTTTACTCATGTCCGATAGGGAATAGTTTGACAGTAGCCCTGGCAAAATGTATTTAGATACACGTATAAAACGATGTGGCCAGCTTTGTTCAAACATATAAAAGTCAGAAGGAACTTGTGTTGTGCCCTTAAGCCTACAATGGTCTTAAGTCTACAATATTCATGAGTGGGCGTGACTTATGTATGCACGTGTTCATAGTCATGAAGAAATGCGAACATTAGAGACTTAAAATTGTCATGTAACCATGTAGTTATATAGTGAATTTTTGTCATGAAACTAACCACAGGTCCGGATAATCCTGTGGGTACCCGGGTCCTACTCAGGACCCACCCAACCTGAGTACCCGAGCTACCGTTCCCAGCCCTACTGTCTGGTGTGTACAGGTGACACAGTACAAGACACTGACCTGCTCCGCGAGTCCCTGCACCTCATCCAGTATGGAGGAGATGGGTCTGCTCCTCTCCCTCCCGCGAGTGAAGGGCACGATGCAGTAGGTGCACATGTTGTCACACCCACGCATGATGGACCTGGCAACAACAACCATCATATGTACTGCACCCTTTATACTCGACTCACAACTTCACAATCTTCATGCAACATCTCCTGTACATGGACTACCTTGTTGTCCGCTGAGTGTTTACAGCAAGGTGAGTGAGTGAGTTTGGTTTAACACCGCTTTTAACAGTATTCCAGTTATATCACGGCGTGTCAGCTTAATGTGGGAGGAAAGCCCCAAGTGATGCAGGTCTCAGACGTTTACCACTTCGGTGAATCCCACGAGCACGGGTATGGTGCTGACAAACCTAGAAACATAATCGGGGCGAACCGGGATTCGAACCCACAATCATAGGTTTCTGGCATGCCCAAGGGACGCAACTCTGCACAGCGAATCGCAGTGCCTTAGACGACTGGGCCATCCATGCCCCCGATTACAGCAAGGAGTCTGCAAGGAGGTCATCTTTACAAAACAATGTAGATTGTCATCACGTTAGTTATACCACTGATTTTACACAAGAGACTTGTCTGGGAGTATAGTATTCCTGGTCAATTGAATATCAGGGCTCCATTCCACAAAGCGATCGTATCACAATTAAAGACGATGATAACTCCCATCGCCTCAGTTATACCACTGATTTTACACAAGATACAGGATTCATTTGAATATCCGGGCCGCATTCCATTAAGCGATTGCTAAGATGACGTTAACTCCCATACTTTAAAATTGACTAACAACTGTCTTTGGGCTACGACCGTCATGTTCAACAGGCCCTGATCATAAAATATAAAGAGACTGCAGCATAATTAGTGTTTTTGTCTTCATGTTCCTCTGAAAGCTTTCCTCATCATGTAATCAGGGTAATACACACACATTCTTCTGATTATTTTCTTCCCAGTTTTCCCAGTTTTTTTACAAAAAATTTGCCATGAGCAAATCTTTGTCCTGTGTCAGGTAAATGCCTTGAGTTAGTTCAGAGAAGAAGTTGAAAGTTAATGCAGAGCTACAGATAAGCAGCGTATTTGTGTAAAATACTCCCCAAAAATATTCAAAACCCAATTACTTTCAATTAACTTGCATACAGAAATGCATGCATTAATTGAAAAACTCAAATGTATCAAAACAGCATGCGTAATTACCCAATAAAGCTTTTCCAGCATGCGTACAAAGGAGCTAATTTCTGAAACACAATTACGAGCTAATTTAATTTGCAAGTCAAGCCTTAATATTTAAAACAGTTATATACATCTATAAAACCCAACAGAGTGATGATTAGATCAGTGAAAAAATATTGGTTACCCAATGAAAAATGTATTAACCCAATTAAAATAGAAACCCTAGAGTAGAAATTTAATTGCTCAAAAACGTATCTGGAGCTCTGTTAATGGATGGATGAAGGGAAGATGGACAAGGTGATAAACCAAAAACGAATCCTAAAATGAGATATCTATGAAGACACTTACACAAAAGCTGATTTAGAGTCTTGGTTGAGTCTGACAGGAACAACATCTGCATATGTTTCTTCTAGAGACAGCAGGACATTCACTGCAACAAGAGTGAGTAAGTGAGTGAGTTTCATGCTGTGTGGGGTCAGTCCTGTGACAATGTGTCAAGAAAGCCTGAAGTGTACCACCTCGGTGAAATCTATGGCAAGCATGCAAGTTCCTATGTAAGTGTAACAATCTTGACCACAACTTTAAACCCCATTTCACCACACCTCATCACCAGATTTCTAAAAGGGCCACAAAGGGGACTCTTATTAGAATATTATTTTGGTGAAAAAAAACAGTGTTGAAAGATAAATTTCATTGTTTATGCTGACAGCCTGAAATGTTTATGTACGACAGATATATTTTTCCAGAATTAAATTCCCCATAATTAAGGGTGCATATAACACACGAGTGTGTATTATACGTGAAGAAATAAGTCTTGTGTACATTGATCAATTGGAATGGGTGCTAATTGGGATTGTTTACTAGCCAATATATTAGCAAATATTGCAATGGGCGCTTATTAGAGCGGGGCGCTTATTACTTTGAATACGGTAATTGTTGCCAAAATGTATGTGAAGGCTGAAGCCTGCTATGAGTACATGGCACCTGACCTGCTGCCTGGTTGTTCCGTGTGACGGCCAACATGCGCGGCAAGTCTCGGTAGGCATCAGGTCCACACACCAAGTCCACCATCTTCTCTCTGTCTACAATCTTGGACTTTAACCGCTCCGCCATGCAACCTTGAGGAAATGTTCATCTTACTGGGAGGCAAATGTAGCAGGAAATGAACATGAATAATAGCATCGTGCTCTCACTTGATTAGATTCAAATAACGGACCAAATGTGTAGTGGGAAAATGCCACTGAAAAGCAGATTTAATCGTTTTGTCTAACTATTCCATGGCTTTCATAGAAGCTGCACTGTATCTCTGCCACACACCATGTCTAGGAAGTATATTATTCAACTTCTGATAGGGATAGAGAGCATCCAGGTGGGTCTGAATGTGACATTGGTTGGATATGTCTGAATGTGACATTGGTTAGATATGTCTGAATGTGACATTAGTTGGATATGTCTGAATGTGACATTAGTTGGATATGTCTGAATGTGACATTGGTCAGATATGTCTGAATGTGACATTGGTCGGATATGTCTGAATGTGACATTGGTCAGATATGTCTGAATGTGACATTGGTCGGATATGTCTGAATGTGACATTGGTCGGATATGTCTGAATGTGACATTAGTTGGATATGTCTGAATGTGACATTGGTTGGATATGTCTGAATGTGACATTGGTCAGATATGTCTGAATGTGACATTAGTTGGATATGTCTGAATGTGACATTAGTTGGATATGTCTGAATGTGACATTAGTTGGATATGTCTGAATGTGACATTGGTCGGATATGTCTGAATGTGACATTGGTCGGATATGTCTGAATGTGACATTGGTCAGATATGTCTGAATGTGACATTGGTCGGATATGTCTGAATGTGACATTGGTCGGATATGTCTGAATGTGACATTAGTTGGATATGTCTGAATGTGACATTGGTTGGATATGTCTGAATGTGACATTGGTCAGATATGTCTGAATGTGACATTAGTTGGATATGTCTGAATGTGACATTAGTTGGATATGTCTGAATGTGACATTAGTTGGATATGTCTGAATGTGACATTGGTCGGATATGTTTGAATGTGACATTGGTCGCATATGTCTGAATGTGACATTGGTCAGATATGTCTGAATGTGACATTGGTCGCATATGTCTGAATGTGACATCAGTTGGATATGTCTGAATGTGACATTGGTCGGATATGTCTGAATGTGACGTTAGTTGGATATGTCTGAATGTGACATTGGTCGGATATGTCTGAATGTGACATAAGTTGGATATGTCTGAATGTGACATTGGTCGGACATGTCTGAATGTGACATTGGTCGGATATGTCTGAATGTGACATTGGTCGGATATGTCTGAATGTGACATTAGTTGGATATGTCTGAATGTGACATTGGTCGGATATGTCTGAATGTGACATTAGTTGGATATGTCTGAATGTAACCGATTGCTCGGATATGTCTGAATGTAACCAATTGCTTGGGTATGTCTGAATGTGATATTGGTCGGATATGTCTAAATGTGACTGATTGCTTGGGTATGTCTGAATGTGACATTGGTTAGATATGTCTGAATGTGACATTGGTCGGAGATGTCTGAATGTGACAGTGGTCGGATATGTCTAAATGTGACATTGGTCGGATATGTCTAAATGTGACTGATTGCTTGGGTATGTCTGAATGTGACATGTCTGAATGTGACTGATTGCTTGGATATGTCTGAAAGTGACCGATTGCTCTGATATGTCTGAATGTGACTGATTGCTTGGATATCCTGAATGTGACTGATTGCTCAGATATGTCTGAATGTAACCGATTGCTTGGATATGTCTGAATGTTAGTGACTGTCCAGATGTCTGTCTGTCTGAATGTGACTGATTGCATATGTTGCATATGTTGTCATACGATTAGTTGTCATCTCGTTAGGAGTGAAATATCTCGGTATACCTATCCAATGGTAAGTAGTATATTTCGGTACCTAATATCCCTATTTTCATGGGTGGAGCTTTCTTGCCACGCCTCGTCTTCAGTGTCTTCAGATACTCCAGCCTGTTCCAGATCTTTTCCTCCGCTCCCTCCCTGATCGCACATGTCATCACCAACACCACGTCAGCCTGTAGCAGGCAATACATGCACAAGCAATAACATAAACATTACACTGTCTCCAAAACCACGTCAGCCTGTAGCAGGCAATACATGCACAAGCAATAACACAAACATTACACTGTCTCCAAAATAAATTCAATCAACATAACTGAATCCAATTACAAAAATCTTGGAGACTAATTTTTTATTTTCTACAAAATATTTGTAGCCATTACTAAAAAAAGATTACTTATCACATCATACCAAAATAAATATTCAAGCTTCATCATGTCTAATTATTACATAGAGACAAATAATACATGTTAATTGTTATGCATTTGAGTGAGTGCGTGAGTATGGTTTTACGCCGCTTTTTGCAATATTCCAGCAATATCACGGCGGAGGACACCAGAAATGGGCTTCACACATTGTACCCATGTTGGGAATCGAACCCGGGTCTTCGGCATGACGAGCGAACACTTTAACAACTAGGCTACCCGACCGCCCCCTTATGCATTTGAAAGGTTTCAGTACTGTACTCTACAAACAAGCATTCTCTGTATCGCTAGGGTTGTCACAAAATGTTTGCATGCCTAAGTATCCCAATGCATCAAAGCCATGGACTATCTTGAAACCCCTAGCCATACCTCTTTCAGATTGTCAGCTCTTGAGAAGTCACTCTTCTTCAGGATTGACCAAGCAACCTCCGTGTCACTAACATTCATCTGACATCCATATGTCTCAAAATATACTGAAAATGAATAATTTCATACTGATTGTAATATAATTCTATCATTAACATTTGCACATTGTAATCATGGTAATGTTACAGACATTTCAATCATGTCACTTATAACAAATAGTAATCATGACTGTGAGTTCGGTTTCATGCAGCTGTCAGCATCACTGCAGGGAATCCCAGAATGGACTTCACACACTGCACTCCTGAGGGGAATCAAACCTAGGTCCTTGGTGTGACAAGACAACGCTTCAGCCACAAGGCTACCCACAGCCCTGACTATGATATACAACAACATGTGTTGTCATTATAATCTCAACAAGATGCTTTCTGTTCAAATCGTAATGCAAAAGTTTCAATATAATACATTGATATACATTATATAATATTATACAAACCAGTCTCTGAAATATTTCATTTTAAATAGCAATACCAAATATAACTTATCATAATAATATATCATTCATAAGGACCAGGTATTGGCTAGTTTGACTATTTGTAAAATCATCAACACCGTGTGAATCACTGGTTAGAGATTTATGGGCAACAATAACTCTAAATCGTTTTGCCAGCGCCATTTTAATTATCCTGCGTAATCACCAGATGCCAATTAGTGCTGAACACAAATCAAACAAGTCGGGATTATAGTCAATACTAAGCAAATTTTAAATATGTGAAGAAATACCATCTATATTTCAATACTTTCAAAGTAAGTGTGTTGTTGCCCGTTAACTTTTAACTTTCACTGTTATATTGGGTTCACTGCAATCACAGTTGCAAAGAAGTTAGAGCCACATTTGTACATTTTTGACAATTGTTCGAACAAAGATTTTTTCAGTTAAAATGATTATTTTTCATGGCAATTTGGAAGAATGAATCTACCTTTTCTGTTTTGTCCACTGTAACTGGTATCCTCAACGTATGGAATACTCTCATCACAATCATTCTGCAGCGGAGGATTTACACTTCTATGTGTCACAAAGTCTTTCAATCCTGGGCCCGTTTCTACTTTGCTTTTGAAATTATTGTTCGAGACAGTTTTCTGCGAATGCCTCATCAATTGACTTGAGTGATACTGGCACACATGAATACACCTTGGAAGATACAGGATTCGCCTTCCCTGCATGCCGCAACATTGTTGTTTGGTTCTAAACCCGGATAAGTTTAACAAATGTCGAATTCTCGACAAGGAGTTTGTGTAATATCCGCAAGTCATAATTCAGGGAAAGATGTTATAGAATAACTACTAATGCAGACTTGCAAATGGGACCAGTGGGCAATGTGTGTGTGTGTTTCTTGGAATGTGCACGGCTGGAAAAGTGATATTAGCAGCCATACTGAAGACCTTCACCTTCACTCAACGCAAAATACGAACTAAGGAAAGGTTACGAAAGAGGAAAAAGTACATATGCTTTAAAAGACAAATTCTCCTTTATCAATCATTTTAAATATATATATTAAGACAAATATAGGACCAGATATATCTTAAAAAATTCTGAATGAGAAAACATATAACATTTTCCGTTTCCTCCATGTTTACATACAAAAGTACCAGTGCATATTTTAATTCACCCACAGTCTCGGTTTGAAACCAATATGTCTGCGCCCAGGTGATGCAATGTGTAGGAAACGTGTTCTTGCACAAATCGCCTTTACTGTTGCATATTTTGATTATTCGTTACAAGACATGTTATGATCAGAAGATATTTATCGAGACTCCGTCAATGTAAGAAAAGCACCATGGCTAAAATCATCCATGTTGACCTGGACGGCCCCAACTCACAAAATGGTAAGTGAATGGATTAGTTGTGTGTTTGGGTATTGGTCAGCTATCTCACGTCTTTTAATGAATTAATACAAGTTTTACTTTTATACAGATTGTAGTTTCGAGAACTGCGTATGCGCATCAAGGTAAATTAAACACTTAGGTGCTGGTTTCTAGATCTTCCTAAAGTGTTGGCTTATTACTAATACTAGATTGATTCAGTAGCCTGGCTGCGTGGCGTTAATTGAAGTCCGAAAAAGTGTTCTCAGTAAAGTATATATACACCCGTTTCAATAATAAACGCTGTATGTGCATTTGTAATTTTAATTCAAGTCATACATGACCTTTTTTACTTATTATTGTCTAGTCTATTCATGTTTCATTCACCAATAACACCTCCTGTCACATCATTACTCTTCTCAACATCAATAACAAACTGTTTCCATGAAAAGAGGCACCTTGTCCGCATGATCAACATATTTTTGTATGCAATGCCTCATCTGTTCATGAACATGATTAATGTATTTTGAGTTGATATTCCACAAAACAAATAACACTAAAATTTACAGGAAACATCTGATATTGATGGCCTAAAACACCACACATAAGAGGACATGCAAGTAATCGTAATATGTTTTGGACCGTGATCAAGGTGTCGTGATACGTATCGGATCACACAGTTGGTGTATCGTCCCAGCCATTAATAACCACCTATGACATCTATACTCACTTGTCAATCTGAAAATGCTCAGATACAAAGATAGCTACTATTACTACACCATATTAAAGTTGGATATGTGCTTCTCATCTCTGTCATGCTATTCTATATACATGTTTATGGTATATGTAGTTTGGTTTGGTGTATCCCAGAATGCCCAATGCTTGGCCTTTCAATGTGTTTAATCAGTCTGCCTTCAACTTCAACAGTATCATGTTTATCTTGTTTGTAGGTGAAACTGAAAGTGAGATGTGAAAAGAAACCATTAGGTACATGTTATGGATTAATCTTGTACCCAGTACTGTTGATGGAAAGTTGATCTGTGTACAAAATACTTTCCAAATTCTTTTGGCTTCAAGTGTGATTTCTCTCTTGCAGACATTATGCAGAGTGTGATGTCGGGGGCCAAGAGTTTGCTGGCTGGTCATGTGGTAGCAGTTCCTACAGACACAGTTTACGGAGTGGCAGGACTCGCTCAAAACAGTAATGCTGTAACAGAAATCTACAACATTAAACAGAGGAACTTCAGTAACCCTATAGCCATCAGTGTGGGGGACATTCAGGATATTTACAGGTAAACTTGCACCTTCCTCATGTTGGCTGCGATGTACATCTTCCCGAGGCAAGGGTGTTAACTGACTATAAAAGTCTAGTTTCCACCGAACTAAGCTGGAAATATGGAGTTACATTTAGGCTGGACTAATGAGTCTATGCATAGTCCAATCAAAACCTTTAACAAAGTGGTCATCCGGTTCGTAAACAACATGGATTTCAACCTGCAGATTTCGGTCAACTGCAGGATTTGCAAAGTATGCGTCCCGCCAACTGGGTGTTGACAGATATTTTGAAAATCTTTCCATGTTTTTGATAAACATGATAAAGGTGCTCAAGTGATTTTATGCACTTCGCGGGGTAAGACCCGTTTTATTACAATGTTGATCTTGATTATCGATCAGATCTTCTTGGCTGGGTGGCGCCATGTTTTTGAAGCAAATACAAGTGATATGAAGGGGGGGAATCTGATATGAGGGACATAGAAGGGACATAACTAGTAATGGCCACTGGTGGCGCTACGATTGAGCCTGGAAATTGCAGCTGAGTTCGGCAAGGTAGGAAACTGGACTATTATAGTCAGTTAACGCCCTTGCCTTGGGAAGATGTGCGATGTAACACATGATTATCATATTCAAAACAAGTAATACTGAAAAGACCCCTTATTCCATATCTGTCATAAGTAAGAGGGACAGGTGACCACTGGCCTAATATTTCACAAACCTGGTCCATCATTTTCAAAGGAAATGGGTCCCATGAGCCATGAATATTTATCAGTCTGTAGCTGTGGAGTGATGGTCTGGTGTGTTGTTGCAGATGGAGCAAGGTGACTGTCTCAGAGGAGGTGTTGCAGGATCTCCTTCCAGGTCCCGTTACCGTGGTGATGCAGAGGAGCAAGGAACTCAACCCGGAACTCAACCCAAACACAGAGCTGGTCGGAGTCCGCATCCCTGACCATGATTTCATCAGAGCACTCTGCAGAAGTTGTGGAGGACCAATAGCACTGACAAGTGCCAACTCTAGTGGATCTCAAAGCACCCTATCTGTTGAGGTATGAGCATTCGCACTATATTACAGACTCACTCAGAAGACATTGACTCCTCTCATGGTAATATGCATGGCATACATGTGGTAACCCTTTCTTGGTAGAGTCTCACAAGATGCATTGGTCAGTTTTCAATAATATGTTTTGATCCATGCTTCAGGAATTCCAGTCGTTGTGGCCTAGACTAGATCTGATATTTGATGGCGGTCGACTTGGCGACACAGACAAGTCGAGACTCGGGTCGACAGTTGTTGACCTCTCCGTGGAGGGCAAGTTCCGCATCATCAGGGAGGGCAGGTGAGATGGAGTTAAGGCGATTCAGATTGTTTGTTTGTTGCTTATCTCCATGCTTAACTTAAGTGGGAGCGGTTGCTGAGAAGAAAATTTAGATATAGCTGTAACTGAAAAAGCTATCTTTGATGATAATTCAACCGATAAAGTTTCTGTTTTATGAAAAGATATGTTAAAAAATGTTCACAATTGTTGAAATCATGAGTTAAGAACTTTTTCCAACGTTTTCAAAACTGTGCTTAGCATTGTTATTGTATTATACGAAGATCGCTACAGGATAAATGGCAAAGAACAGTGAAAGACAAGGCTGGGTTATTTCATGACAAAACATTTTTCTATTGTGACATTATATCTGGAGATTCGAACATCTGCTTAAACTTGATAATGTCGTAAATTTGAGAGGGTGTGAGTTGTTAGTGAGTTGTTCCCATTACATGTAGCTGGGCAATGCAAATAAGTGCAATGGCCGAACGGTCACATCCGAAAATGGGCGAGATATGGCAATCTGTAATGGGAGAAAAGGTACAGATAATGTCCATCAGTTATCCACTTGGAACCTTTTCTCTTTCTGCTGTCGGGGGCACGGGTGGCCCAGTCGTCTAAGGCGCCGCGATTCACTGTGCAGAGTTGCATCCCTTGTGCACGCCAGAAACCTATGATTGTGGGTTCGAATCACGGTTCGCCCCGATTATGTTTCTAGGTTTGTCAGCAACATACCCGTGCTCGTGGGTTTCACCGAAGTGGTAAACGTCTGAGACCTGCATCACTTCGGGCTTTCCTCCCACATTAGGCTGACACGCCGCAATATAACTGGAATACTGTTAAAAGCGGCGTTAAACCCAACTCACTCACTCAATCACTCACTCTTTCTGCTGTCATGCTATAGCTGGAGTATTGATGCTGTGTCATTCTCCCCCTCTCTCTCCATGTAATCATGATGACCTTGATTCAATCTGTTTTATTTCCAGTGCCTATCAAGCCACAGTGGACTTGCTCAGGAACAAACACAAGATAGAAGAAATACTCAAGATCTTATAGCATAATTATTATATGACGACCAAATCTTTTATTGACATTGTTTTGTACAAATGATATATTTATATCCATGTGATGGATCTGTTTATTTTTTATCCTTCATATGTACAAGATTTTAGGTTGCTCATTCATCTTATTTTAAAGAGGATGTTTACAACAATGTTTCTAATATATTCATGTAACAGATAATGTCAGGGGTCATGTATCACGATGCCAGAGTTTCATCACTCATGTGTGAAGTATTACTGTTCTGTGACCCTGATGACAGTCTGTGTGGTCAAGTGGATAGAGCGTTTGCCTGGAGAGTGGAAATTTTGGGGGTTTGATCCCCGGCTGCATCGTCGAAAAGACCTTTGTAGATGGTACTTGTTGTTACTTTGCCTGGTGCTTGACGTTAAGGGCTAACACAAGGAGTCCATGCTAAACTGCAGCACATGATCTCAGTGGGCTAGCACTATAAAACCAGACGAGTACAAGCAGCCACACACATATATGCATTCACAGCACTGTATAAGTGTTATATTCTTGAACACGATATTAAACCCCATTTCATGGTACTTGCCGTGCTGGTCTTTGTCAGCTCCATCAGAGAGGTTCTTGCTCTCAAACAGTTTGTGTTTAAATCTCATGGTATGGATGGATACATCAGTGACATCCTCAGAGACAGCCATAGCCATGTCAGGTTGTGTGGCCTCTGTATAGTCATCGGTCATGGCAAGTAGGTTTCCTTTTAAAATTAGGATGTAGGTTTCCTTTTAAAATTAGGATGGCTTTTGTTGCCAAAATGTACAGGAGTGGACTGAGTATATAACTTATAGCTCACCTGACTGACGGACAAGAGAACTTCTGTTGTCAAAATGTAATTGTGGCCCTCTACATATATAAATATGCATGTATCAAACATGCTGTAAACAATTCTGTTGCGTAGAAATACTTCTAGTTTGTTTTTAGTTTATTGTTCTCATATTTGTCTGATCTAGTATAGTTATCGAGAATGTCAGGTGAGCTACAGTGCCTTGTGGCTCTATTGTGAGGAAACATCTCCACATGTACAGTGCTTATTATTTGACAAAGAGTTGTTGTGACCGATGTCCACTGAGAGACTTGTCAGCTCTCGTCCTCCCCATGACGTGTTGTGTGGCAAGCAGTTTACAGCATTTGGATCTATAGTGATAGCTAGGTCTGGACCAACGTCTACAACAAGGGCTTAATTGATATAATATATAGGGCCAAGCTAATCTACTTACTTGTTTGAGATATTTCAGGACAATCTGTGAACATGGTCACTGTGAAATTAAATACAATAAATAGATAATTTAGATTGGTAAAAAATATGAAATGTTTCTTCAAAACTACTTGTGACTACTTACATGATGGAACAGCATTGAATGACCGCCCCGGTTTATATTTTCAGAATTGGTGGTAGAATTAGGTATATGTTGGTAGGAACTTTGACATCACGCCAACATATACACGCGGGCATTAATGAAGCACCATCCACTCTTTCGGATATATGCTGCATGAAAAACTCACTTGTGTGATTCAGTGTTGGGAACCCGACAAAAGAGTAATATTTTTACAAACAGATCACCTGGAGGTACCATCGCACAAATAATGAAGCTGATGCAAAGAAGTCTAAGAATGTTTATTTCAACAACTCAGAAATTAACTGCACCCGCCCCTCGAATCAGATTGTCACATTATGCAGTGGAAAAAACGATCATTGTTAACCGAGGGATCACCCCTGACTCTGCAATCAGTATCTGGAGTGTCTACCCCTCTCATGGATGACATTCGTGAGGCATCTCCTGATGAGTGAGTGAGTGAGTATGGTTTTACGCCGTTTTTAGCAATATTCCAGCAATATCACGGCGGGGGACACCAGAAATGGGCTTCACACATTGTACCCATGTCCGGAATCGAACCGGGTCTTGGGCGTGACTAGCGAACGCTTTAACCACTAGGCTACCCGACTGCCCCTTCCTGATGGGTCAGACGTCTGATTTTCAACAGCATGTATAGTTAGACATCACAGTGAAGGCAGTGTCAAGCAGTTCAGTGTCTTAGTACAGTGGTATACACCTTTGGTCACATACAATTAGTCCAGAATTCATTTCAGACTCATGGCATTTGCAAAATAACTAGATTTAGGGAGAAAATAACTAGCCCCTCTAGATTTTCACATGTCTTGGACTAACGGACAAGTGTCCGTGTCTTTCCCTGTAGAATAAGCATTTGTTTAGTGTGTTGGGAATCTATATAAATTCCCCCTGTATCACTAGATTTGGTAGTAGATATGATGTATAACTCAGGGGAAGCACCAACCACCATATAAAATGGCTTGGCTCACAAACTTGTATCATCTTATATTTTATCTTTTATTTTTTTTAAAATGGCTGATGTTTCTTTTACAAATAAACTACTGAGATTTCATGTTTAGTTACCCCTGTTTGTGAAACCTGTATGAATAACATGCATGTGCTCACTGATGAAGACAGAACACAGATAGAATGATGTACATGTTGACAGCTTCATCTCTCATTCAACCAACCCGTGAAGATCCGGGTTAGATTAGGTCTATCCCATGCGTATAGTTAAAGGTGACTATGCTTGTCGTAAGAGACACCTACCGGCATCGGGTGGTCAGGCTCCCTGACATTGTTGATGCATGCATCTTATCTCAATTGTGAAGGGGGCACGGGTGGCCCAGTCGTCTAAGGCGCCGCGATTCGCTGTGCTGAGTTGCGTCCCTTGGGCATGTTTCTAGGTTTGTCAGCACCATACCCGTGTTTTGGGTTTCAGCGAAGTGGCAAACGTCTAAGACCTGCATAACTTCGAGCTTTCCTCCCACATTAAGCTGACACGCCGTGATATAACTGGAATACTGTTAAAAGCGGCGCTAAACCCAACTCACTCACTCACTCAATTGTGTAGGTTGATGCTCATGATGTCAATCACTGGATTGTCTGGTCCAGATTTGATTATTGACAGATAGGTGTCATATAGCTGAAATATTGCAGAGTGCGGCGTTAAACAACAAACAAACGAGACTGCCATGGTGTTGCACGTTTGGGCAGTTGTAACACATGTTTTAACCTTGGCCTATACTGAATAAGTATATTGTTGAACTGTGCACTAAGGTATATAGGATAACTTGACAACACATCTCACACTGCCCTCCCATTGTGTATGCTTATTTAACGGCATACGTGATAGTAATCAGGCATGATTTCATGTAAATAAAACATATTAGACTATATTTAATTTGTGTTTTAATTATTAAAAAACCCATAGCTATATAGTAATAGTAATAATGTTTGTGGTGACTGTGGGACACACAAAGTGTGACGAAAGCGTATATGAAGCCCAAACGCGCTGTCTGCGATGTGGTTGATGGGGATGGGGATGTAAATCCCTTCACTGGCTGAAACAGTCGTAAAATACCTGCCTTTCTCCAGGTTTGGTTAATGTGAACACCTTGATGTCTTTCAGAGAGACTTTCGACCCTGATTTCTCCATCTACAGCCCCACTTCTGCAAGTCGACCTCGACCACTGCATCTTTATTCATCTTTCTGAAACTCGACCTCGCTCTCCGCAACTCTGCTTTGATTTAAATGACGTGCAGTACAGACATGACAAAGACGACGAACTTCAACACAAATCGCCAAAAGATGGTACTTGTTGTTACCCTGTCTGGCGCTCGGCATTAAGGGGCTAAAACAAGGACTGGTCGGCTCGGAGTCAGTATTCTGTGTCTGAGTGGGGTATTCATGTTAAACTGTGGCATGGTATCTCAGTGTGCTAGCACTATAAATCGGCACCAGTCCGGACTAGTACAAGCAGCCACTCACACACATAGACACACACGTGCATGCACGTCGCTTTATAAGTGTAATAATCTTGGACGCGACGTTAAGCCCTATTTCACCTCACCTCACCTCACCTCACCTCACCTCACCTCAACCCGAATCAGCATTGATCACCACCAACGTCCACGTGTTATACAGGTACATCGTGTTATATTGGGGCGTTATAGCGAAGAGACCACGTGTTACACAGAGACGTTTTAGTGAGCCCCCATGTTATACAGAGACTTTATAGTGAGGCCACGTACTATACAGAGACGTTATGGTGAAACCACGTGTTATACATAGACGTTATATTGAGGCCACGTGTTATGCAGAGATGTTATAGCGAGACCACATTTTGCATAGATGCGTTATATATAGCGATACCATACGGTTACACGTAGGTGCCTTTCAGAGATCGTATTGTATAGATGCGTTATAGAGGGACCACGTGTTATACAGATGTGTTACACAGAGATGACGTATTGTATAGAAGCATTATAGAGAGACCACGTGTTATACAGATGTGTTACACCGAGATGACGTATGGTATATATGCGTTATAGAGAGACCACGTGTTATACAGAGGTGTTACACAGGGATCACGTATTGTATAGATGCGTTATAGAGAGTCTTGTTACACGGAACCCTTATAGAGACCACGTGCTATACAGACGTGTTATAGAGAGATCACGTATTTTATAGATGCGTTATAGAGGGACAACGTGTCATAGAGCGGTGTTATAGATATATCAAGTATTGTATAGATGCGTTATAGACAGACCACTTATTTCAAGGAACCGGTATAGAGATATATGTTGTATAAATGCGTAATAGACCACGTGTTACACGGTGATTTACAGAGATCACGTGTCCTACAGAGCCCCCGTGTAACGCAGAGGCGTTATGGAGAGACCACGCGTTTCACGGAGGTGTTAAACAGAGATCACGTGTTACATGAAGACGCCGTTCAGAGACGTGTTATTCTACAAGACTGCAAGACCAGACAAGACGAGACTGTATTCAAATAGATTTATTCGTACATTCAACAGTAACGGTACATGCCAGAGTTATTGCTGTCTGCATGCGTGTGTGGCGTGCTCCTTGTACTGTAACATAGACAGGAGCAATGCCGGTCAACAGTCATAAATGACAGGTGTATAATATACAAGATGCACATATTTGTTTAATGATTGGACGGTTCTGGTTATAATATATTTCCCCTTCACACTGGTAAACCTTTACATTTGATGTTTGATTAATAATCGTATTTCCTGTTCCACCAGAGCTTTGAAAACAATACATTATAATACCTTGTGTTTAATTTTGGTTCCTCGTGGCGATATGGATTTGGAAATAATAGTTTCAGGGCTCGCACTTAATACATGTAAACAGAAATCAATATCAAAATCTTTCAAAAGTTTAAAACCCCAATATATTTTAGTATAAAACCCCAACATTTCCTTCACTTATCATAAGCCGAGGTTTGTAGAATTGCACAATATTCCTAACTTGAAAGTTCAAGACTGTCCTCTAGCAGCAATACGTGAATGATTTCTACATGACACCAACGTTGTTGCTTGTAGGTACTATGTACTATGATGCGGACGTGCAAGCAGACGCGACATGTCCCTGTAACATGATATAGGAGCGAATGTAGTTTATAACTGGCGTTCACTCTGGGGCAATGGTCCGAATGTAACGTCGAAAAATGTGCGAAAATCGGACCTTGCGACAATCTGTCATGTTAACAATCCTTATTGCTTCACGTTGTGACCTTCATCTAGGAAGCAATGAAAGGTGAAGTGACCTTGAACTCTCCGTTAACGAGTAACGTTGAACTTTAGTGACAGTATATACAAGGTATAGAACCTTACATTACATAATTTCGTGACAAATCTGACTTGAACTTCCGTGACAGTCTACACTTTGAATGATTTCACTATGTGGCATAGTTGTCCCTTGAGTTATGTGACGGTGAGAGACCTGACCTTGACTTGGTGTTGGTGACAGAAGTGATGTCGAACGTCAATGAAAGCACTTCAACGTCGTCGTCAACTAAAATGACTTCCCAAATAAAAACATATTGAGCACTTTGAGGAACTGACCACGCGCATAGTCTCGACGCACATTGCACACGTTAATGATTTCGTATAGTTCTGGACAGAGATGGTAACACTTGGTTGGAGTCTCTTGATTGGACGGTGCTGAAGGAACTGGCCTGGCGTGACCCCAGGGTCGACGTGTCATCACTGTCCGTAGCAGGGATTTTCCTGTCAGTCTGGACCCTCTTCAGAATCCTCCTGGGGTGCACGGCTTTTCTCCCAGGGTGAGCGGTCCGTTCCTCCGACAGGGGAGTGTCATTTATGCCAGGTGCATCTCTTGAGATTGAGTCTCTGTGACCCAGTCCGTGACTGACCGTCTTGCGGACATTGCCAGGCCTGAGGTCTATACTCAGGTTAGAGTTCGCTCGGGAGGTGGGGGTGGATATGAGAGGGGTATGTACAGGGGAAGGGGTCGATGGTTTGTCTCGGACATTCAGGCTTGATGACACACCTGTGGGTCGAGCAGGATGGAAACGCTTGCCCATGTGGTAGAACACGCGACCATGACTGTCACGTGTCTTTAACAACCCTGCAGTATTGTCGTCTGATGACTTCGACCCATCTGCTTGTTCAAACGATCCTTGTCGACTAGATGTTTTGTCTGGTGTTTTTCCTTTGTTCGGAGATTCTGAAGTCTTTGCACGTAGTTCAGAGCACTTGTTGGTGTGAATTCGAGCATATTTGTGAAATCCTTTCGGCAAACGCTGTCGTCGTGCTGATTCAGGGCTTCCGATTGGTCGCTTGTCAGATGGGCGAGGATGGGTTTGGTGCTTGGACAGAGGTGAGGAGGGAGCTGATTGGGCGACCATCACAGCTTCCTGTCTTGACCACGCCTCCTTGTATCCTGAAGCATCAATAGTAGTAAGTGAAATCCACGAGCACGGGGATTTGCTGACAAACAAAAAATCCTATTTATGGCAAATGTGAGTTTCGAACACATCGAATTCTGGCACGACAAAGGGATGCATCTGCGGCGCCTCAGATGACTGCTGACTGGACCACCCGTGTTTTGTACAACATTCTTTTCGGTTAAATATAATTGATGAATGAATTAAAAACCGTATAAATCCTTATTAATTTTAAGTATTCGTAATTCATACTTCGAAGTTGTGTAGGTATTTACAGTTAATCCATCTTTTCACAAATTCTGTTATCACACGGTTTATATTTGCATTATCGAACTTATCCTTAGTCAAATAATGTTCGGTGCTAGCAGTATCTTAAATAACCTCTTTTAGAAACAAAACAAATGCCATTAAATTTCGTTAGTTAAATTGTGCACACTGTCATTCTCTGAAAACATCTGGCCTCACCTTCCTCATCCACGAAGTTGTCGTCTCTGTCACCGACGCGGCTGTCGTTGTCCAGATGCGGCTGTCGAGTCACCGTCACCACCCTCGGAGATATGTCTGCGTCTTCCTTGTCTTGACCCCGCCGTATCAGCTTTGCGTTGATGGGCACCGTCGTTGACGTCTTGCGTGGAGGTAACTCCTGAAATATAATATACGTTGTCAAGTACCACACTCAGATATCATTACAAGACACAACAAGAAAGTTACACGTCTTTGACAATTGCAGAGGTTTAAAAGCAGTTCTAATCGTTTACCTGGAATACAAGAGATATTTTGGTTGGTTCCATGAGCCTGCCGTCTATGTGAGGGACCTTGCCCTTGACCCTGAGGTCGGCCTGGTACCGACACAACTTCCGGTTATACATCTGGTAGGTGGCGTTGGCAGAGCTGGGTACATTTCCGGTCACGAATCTAATTACTTCTCCAACTCTGAAGCCTAGTTGTTCACTCATGTGCTTCAGTATGCTGGCGTCGATGTCGTCCGCCTTGATTCTGTTTGGGAAAGGGGGACGATCCAACGATTTATTTTTTCCTGAAGAAAGAAAGGAAATTGTGTTTTAGAAATAGTTTTCATGCTGATAAATAACATGATTTGTAAAAGGGACCGCAGTATCAACAAACTCGTAAAGCAATTAGTGACTACATTTAGTGGTTACATTTGGGGATTTTATAATTTCATAATAGCCTCAAAATCTACAATGCGATGTGGTGCAGGGATGTCTTAATTGCCACACGTTTATCTTTGGTAATAAGTACACTTACTGGTGATTTACACTAATGCCCTCAAAAACTCAACCTTTTAGTAGTTGTTAACCTAAATCAATTACTAGCCACTAATTACACTCTGTCGCTTTTCTCATCGATTTTCTCATGAATGACATTCGACTTTGAGACACAATTAATGTTTATAAGCCATTGTTGCTGCGCGCTTCATTAAAAAGAATTCTGCAATCCATTGAAAGGCTACGGCTCCCTCAGTATCTACACATCTCCAGTACTTCAGTCGCGTGAACTGCCGACAATACATGAAGATTAATTGAATTCCATAATGAAGGGATGGGAGGGACAGCTGGCTGACTGAGCTACCTATGTCAGTGGTTTCTAAGGGACGACGGCTGGGCGGGCCAAGTAGGGTATGAAATATGCATGGCGTTGTTCGATGTTGTAATTACAACACGACAGGCAGGAGCAAGGTGTGGGCAGCTGATAGTGCATTAAACTTACCTTCTGAAATATATTTTTCTATAAAATGTAAGCTTCAGAGATCGATAGGCTACATTGGGAGAAGAAATTGGTTAAAGCCAAAGGTTAAATTTTAAAATTGATTTTTCTATAAAATATAGGCTTCATAGATTTATAGGCTACACTGGGAGAAGAAATTGGTTAAAGCCAAAGGTTAATTTCTGAAATTGATTTTTCTATAAAATATAGACTTTAGTGATCTATAGGCTGCATTGGGAGAAGAAATTAGTTAAAGTCAAAGGTTAAATCTTGAAACTGAATTTTTCTATGAAATATAAGCTTCAGAAATCGATAGGCTACATTGGGAAAAAAAAAATTGGTGAAAGCCAATTGTTGAATTCTGAAATTTACATTTCTGTGAAAACAGGATCTAGAAACAATAAGCTGCTCGTGTAAAAATTCTAAAACTGACTTCTTTTTATATATATTCTCTACAAGTCGGCTAAGATGAGCGTCTGTGTCCTTGAGAACCGATGTGTGTTAACGTGAATCGTAAAGTCAGCCAGTGGGGCGTGGCATCAATAAGTATTAAATCATCATTAAAATGAATAGTGACGTGAAACTGGATATACAAGGATATGTGTCCACCGATACATCGCGGGGTCTTGCAGCAAAAGAAACTCAAGAGCAATTTCGGAATCAAGGTACCTGTGATCCTGGGTTCGAATCCCAGACAATCCCTGATTATGTGTCTCGGTTTGTCAACACCACACCCTGCTCGTGGGTTTCACCAAAGTGATCAATGTCAAAGACCTGCATCACTTGAGGCTTTCTTTTCAGAACAAGCCCACACACCGTAATTTAACTCGAATACTCTTCAAAGTGATGCTCACTCACTTACTCACTCACTCACTCACTCACTCTGCCTGACCCACCTTCCGTCAACCACGGGTGCCGCATGGCGTCCAGCAGTGTAATCCTCTTGTTGGGGTCTGGCGTCAAGAACTTCCGTATCAGATCCCGACTCTCTGTTAAGAAAATGAGAAATGTGGATTACTGTAGTTTTCACCTATAACCTGAACGGACATGAACGCACACATAGTACTGTTTAGACACTGCTTCTGCGGGTCGAATGATGCAGCGGAAGCAGTCTAAGTTGTCTGAATCATGTTATGAAACATCATTTACACATTAACTTTTCCTGAGCAGTGTATTTGTATTGTCTTGTGTCTCGAGAGCATGAACAAGCATATGTTTTAACAATTGGAAAACATTTAGTCTTAACTCTGCACCTATTGTTATAGCTTCCTTGTTTCATTATTAAGAGCCAGTCAGACATATCTAAATATACATAAAATAGTACCTGCTCTCGTAATATATGTGTAAGTTATATATGAATATAATAAAATCATATGTCAAGAACAGCCACAGGAGGTCTGTCGTCTAAGGCGCCGCGATTCGCTGTGCAGAGTTGCGTCCCTGGGGCACGCCAGAAACCTATGATTGTGGGTTCGAATCCCGGTTCGCCCAGATTATGTTTCTAGATTTGTCAGCACCATACCCGTGCTCGTTTGTTTCACCGAAGTGGTAAACGTCTGAGACCTGCATCACTTCAGGCTTCCCTCCCACGTTAAGCTGACACGCCGCGATATAACTGGAATACTGTTAAAAGCGGCGTTAAACCCAACTCACTCACTCACTCACTCACTGTCGTTGCTCTGGCTGTATTTCTCAGACAGGGTGTCCGGTATAGGGTTCCGGTTACCTACCTCTCGACAGGGTGTCCGGTATGGGGTTCCGGTTACCTACCTCTCGACAGGGTGTCCGGTATGGGGTTCCGGTGAACTAATTCTCGACAGGGTGTCCGGATAGGGTTCCGGTTACCTACCTCTCGACAGGGTGTCCGGTATGGGGTTCCGGTTACCTAACTCTCGACAGGGTTTCCGGTATGGGGTTCCGGTTACCTAACTCTCGACAGGGTGTCCGGTATGGGGTTCCGGTTACCTACCTCTCGACAGGGTGTCCGGTATGGGGTTCCGGTTACCTAACTCTCGACAGGGTTTCCGGTATGGGGTTCCGGTTACCTAACTCTCGACAGGGTGTCCGGTATGGGGTTCCGGTTACCTACCTCTCGACAGGGTGTCCGGTATGGGGTTCCGGTTACCTAACTCTCGACAGGGTTTCCGGTATGGGGTTCCGGTTACCTAACTCTCGACAGGGTGTCCGGTATGGGGTTCCGGTTACCTACCTCTCGACAGGGTGTCCGGTATAGGGTTCCGGTTACCTAATTCTCGACAGGGTGTCCGGATAGGGTTCCGGTTACCTACCTCTCGACAGGGTGTCCGGTATAGGGTTGCGGTTACCTACCTCTCGACAGGGTGTCCGGTATGGGGTTCATGTTGCCCTTGACCATCTTGTCGTGCAGCGTCTTGATGTTGAACGGTTCGACGGTGAAGGGGAGACTTCCGGTCAGCATGGCGTACATGTTGACCCCTCTGAAACAGGAAGTCTGGCATTGAACACGCCGTTAAACAATGGCTCTAGGTTTTAGCAGTGATCATTTTCCGATTTTGCCTTTGGTTTTAGTCGGTTTACTTAGGACTCCTAGAAGGGCTTTGTCGCGTTGTTGCATTGTCGCCCTTACGAAAACAAGCAAAAAGTGTCAAAACTTACCAAAGCGCGACAAAACGACAAAGCGACAAAGCGACATTTTGGTCATTTGTCGCGCTTAGAATAATAATTTTTATTTTACCCAAGGACGACAACGCGACAATCTCCCTTAAGATTCCATAGTTTACCAACTACACCAGTTTGGTTGCAGTGTTCGGAATGGGTGTGTCTTGAAGTTGGATATTCATTATTCTCGCCAAACGAGAAGACTGGCAATACTGAGTACTTAACAATACGTGCACAATATCACTCATGACAAGTTATATCATGTCATAATGGTGTACTGCTGCGGAACTGTTATTGGCCTATAGGGGCGCGGATGCATTGTTCCTGTGCGTCTTCCGAAAATGAATACTTCATAATTTTTCTCACTTTCATTAAGTTTGATTCACTTGTCGAATGATACTAATTTCAGGCATGTTAAAATCATTGGGAACGATAGATATAATTGGTAGAGCGTGTATTTGATGACTGTGTGTATATCTGAGGTCGTAGAAGAGAGATTGTGGCACAGAGTAGCCCCTAGAGTTCACATAGGCCACTCATGGTAATTAAACCACGTGAATTATTTATTTGTTGAAGAATGTACACAGGTCTGGGGAGGGACTAAGACTCGCTGAATTATAATGACGGCAGCACTGACCATTCAGCTGTTCCGTGCTCCACCCTATGAAGGGCAATCTGACACGGTCCTGTATAATGCGTCTAAATATGGGTTTGATGGCGTGACACGAAGCCCGTTCCTGTACGGTGTGCCTAAATATGGCCTACCAGGTGTGAGACGAAGCAGCGATAATACTGCTTGCGCTTAGTTTACTTATACAATATTCAAGAAGAATCTATTTTGTTCCAGTGCAATAACAGTAAACATCAAGTATCACTCTCTCGTACAAGAAGGTCAAGTCATAACTAAAAAGGTAAATGGACAAATATAGGGAAACATATGCGACAAAACCATTTCCATAATAATAAGAAATCATTACCGAAAGCATTACCATACGATCCCGACTATATCGTATCAAGTGAGTGAGTGAGTGAGTGAGTTGGGTTTAACGCCGCTTTTAACAGTATTCCAGTTATATCGCGGCGTGTCAGCTTAATGTGGGAGGAAAGCCCGAAGTGATGCAGGTCTCAGACGTTTACCACTTCGGTGAAACCCACGAGCACGGGTATGGTGCTGACAAACCTAGAAACATAATCGGGGCGAACCGGGATTCGAACCCACAATCATAGGTTTCTGGCGTGCCCAAGGGTCGTATCAAGTGTCTGTGAATCACTTTCAAATAGTGCTGACACCAGGTGTTTTAAGATAACACAAATTTCAGGTTTTGTTAACATAAGAAACAAGATTCCCCTCCTGGAACGTCCTTTATCGAAAACCTGGCACAATGTGTACATCTAGTATTCACTTTAAGAAATGAATTATCATTTCATTAAATAAACATATATTATTGAGTGAGTGAGTGAGTATGGTTTGACGTAGCTTTTAGCACTCTTACAACAATATCACGACGGGAGACACCAGAAATAGGCTTCTTACATTGTACCTATATGGGGAATCGAACCCGGGTTTTCGGCGTGACGAGCGAACGCTTTAATTACACGGCTCCCCCACCGCCCCCAAAATATATTAATATATATGTTATATTGTCTCGCGGCTTACATAAATTATTGAGAGCAATAGGCTTACAAGGTTTACAGTAGACTAACACTTAGTAAAAAATATAATTATAAATGAAACAAATAACTCAATTTAAATTGAAAAGGAGCCCATGTGAGATGGAAGGACCTGAGGAAAATCTAGACTCGAAAATCGAAAGGGAAAATAATATGGTTTAGGACTGTGAGACAGAATAGTCTTACAGTAGTCGAGAATAACAGTTAGTCCCAGATGTATAGCTATTTTACTTAAATATATATCTATGTCTGTAAAACAAAAGGTAAAATCTAAATAGAGCCCAACCCAATGCTTAGGATCTGAGCAATATAGACTTGCCAAAACTTCTAGACAAGAGAGAGGTCGTGACGTTGTTCAATGACTACACATGTCGTTACTTGACTGAACATAATTCATTATTTTAAAATACGTATGCTATCGAAAGTGTAACCGCATTCAACAAGCCATTTCCAGTTGAAAGTATTGGTATCAATCTTGTTATAAATATGCCCTCATCAGCTTACAGTACTGACCGCATAGAAATCAATACGTGCGTGACCTATTTTAAATGAACATTCAGCTCACACCAGCGGCACGATACGAATGCATTAGATCTCAAATTTGGCTTCAGGATCTATAATTCATCTGATGACCTGTGAACACGATACGCGGGTCTGAGTCACTGAACTGCCTTAAACTTTTCCCTTTGTTGTTGAGTGAGTGAGTATGGTTTTACGCCGCTTTTTACCAATATTCGAGCAATATCACGGCGGGGGACACCAGAAATGGGCTTCACACACTGTACCCATGTCGGGAATCGAACTCGGGTCTTCGGCGTGACGAGCGAACGCTTTAACCACTAGGCTACCCGACCGCCCCTCTTGTTGTTGTAGCCACGGGTTTAATTTTGACCCACGGACATTATGTAGGTCCATGATTGACAATAACGGTCTGTGGGGTCCTATTCGGAATTCATACTCAAGGATTTTGTCTTTGTAGATGGAACTATTTTTAAAATGCATTTAAATGAATTAGATTAATCGGCAGTTCATCAGTATTGAGGATCTCTTTGTCCCCATGCTGACAATGATTCAGACTGATATGGCTCGTGGAGAAGCGTGTTACATATACCACAAATCAAGATATTCGATACCAGTTTTGCTGTAATTTACTGTTAGACGTGAAATACTTTCTGTTCTCTGTTTCTAATAATTCGGAAATATATAAGGACATCTGTTATTACTTGACCAAAGGGTATACACGTTATCTTCGGCCCTTGCTTTCACTGAGCGGCCTTGTATCAAACTAGTTTTGAAATTTCGGATTAGAATGTGAACGTACACAACTAAGGGACATACACTTTAATTGAAAAATTCGATGCATATTTGAAATATAATTTACACAATCCTCACATTACGATATTCCTTGTACAATACTAATTAAAATTAGATCTTAGTTCTGGCGTGCCCAAGGGTCGTATCAAGTGTCTGTGAATCACTTTCAAATAGTGCTGATACCAGGTGTTTTAAGATAACACAAATTTCAGGTTTTGTTAACATAAGAAACAAGATACCCCTCTTGGAACGTCCTTTGTCGAAAACCTGGCACAATGGGTACATCTAGTATTCACTTTAAGAAATGAATTATCATTTCATTTAGTAAACATATATTATTGAGTGACACGACGGGAGACACCAGAAATAGGCTTCTTACATTGTACCTATATGGGGAATCGAACCCGGGTTTTCTAATTTTTTAATTAGATCTTAGTTCTCGCTACTATGCGGGCACCCAACTACGGGAAACGTCAGAACGACCTTTCATCCGACCAATCAGAGCGTCGCTTTCCAGATCGTTTCCATGCATACAACCTCGAAAAGGTTAACACGTGGTATTCCAAGCAACAGTTTATAAGGGTTGTACGTCTATCCCTCGCTTAAATGGCATAAACATTTGAAACTTTCCATATCCAGTGGGAAGTACTGCCATACAATATCGTCTATCTATTAGACATTCAAGAATTTTTTGTTGTTAAGTTTTCAAATTTAGAATCGATATTATTCAAGGATATGGGAGACACCAGTTTAAAAAGCTCAGTAAAGCTCAGTAAAGCTCGAAAAAGCTGATTGGCTTATGCCGAATTCTTCGTAGTCTTTTCATTGGTCGGTCAAAGTGCGCGAAAGGTCGTTCTGACGTGTCTTCGTAATTGGATGTCCTCAGATCTTTTTTTAGCGGTAGCGAGAACTGGTATCTGATTTTAATGAGACTGTTCCCGGTTAATTTGAAATATCGCCATTAATCACTGCAAATACTAATTAGATTTATACTGTTTCCCAATCAGATTTTGTAAGTCCGTTTTCCATTTGTACAATGTTTTTGAAAATTGAGTAATTCTGAAAATAGGGAATCTGCTTACATGCTCCAGACGTCAACCTGAGGTCCATATTTCCGGTGACTTAGTAGTTCCGGTGCTGCGTAGGCAGGACTTCCGCACTGTGTGACGCAGTACTCCTGGGCCTTGGTTCCGTCAGCTGTGGTTATCACCTTGATTGAGTTGCTCAGCCCAAAATCTACAAAAAACAGAATAACACTGATAACATATTATTCGTTAAAAGTAAAAAATGGTTTGCAAAGATATGCACCTATTAAAATGACGTTCTTGATCCTATTGAGACCACAATCCATTCGAATGTCAAAGATGAGGTAGCCGTTATGTGTGCAACTGTCTCTCGATATCTGAAAACGATAGACGTTCAGATAGAGATTGACGCCATACCATCAAGACATCGGAAGTGATCACGTAGATGTGCAGTCCACGTAGCAATCACAGTCACAACACTCTAACCCCTACCCAACCCCTCGTCCCTGTCCCCCAGAACCACCTAGCTAGACCTCCCTCGTCACCTCTTCTCAGGTCCCCCAGAACCACATAGCTAGACCTACCTCGTCACCCCTCCTCATGTCCCCCAGAACCACATGGCTAGCCCTCCTCCGTCACCCCTCCTCATGTCCCCCAGAACCACCTAGCTAGACCTCCCTCGTCACCCCTCCCCACGTCCCCCAGAATCACCTAGCTAGCCCTCCTCCGTCACCCCTCCTCATTTCCCCCAGAACCACCTAGCTAGACCTGCCTCGTCACCCCTCCCCATGTCCCCCAGAATCACCTAGCTAGCCCTCCTCCGTCACCCCTCCTCATGTCCCCCAGAACCACCTAGCTAGCCCTCCCCCGTCACACCTCCCCATGCCCCCCAGACCAACCTAGCTACCCCTCACCCGTCACCCCTCCTCATGTCCCCCAGAACCACCTAGCTAGCCCTCCCCCGTCACCTCTCTTCGTGCCCCCCAGAACCACCAAGCCCTCCCCCGTCACCCCTCCTCATGCCCCTCAGACCAACCTAGCTAGCCCTCCCTCGTCACCTCTATTCGTGCCCCCCAGAACCACCAAGCCCTCCCCCCGTCATCTTTCTTCATGTCCCCATGAACCACCTAGCTAGCCCTCACCCGTCACCCCTCCTCATGTCCCCCAGAACCACCTAGCTAGCCCTCCTCCGTCACCCCTCTTCATGTCCCCATGAACCAACTAGCCCCCAACCCCAACCGCCATCCCCCATCTCCGTCACCCCCCCCCCCCCCCCCCCCCCCCATGTCCCTATCATACAGATACAGTACTTCACATCCCACTCCGGGGGTCACGGGGTCACTGAACCACTCCAGTAAAACAGGGGAGGAGATAAGAAGGGCATTGTCAACTCCACCCAATCTTCATCTTGATTTATGTACCCTTCAATACAAACACTTGAATGGGTAGCAACTCTACAGTTTATTAAGCGTAAGCTTAACAAATATTATATTAATAATAAGCTGTAAATTATTTCTGATAAGGAAGGGTTGGAGGTGTGATCAATGGCGCTGTGCACTAACACCTGTCAAGCAGAGCCCGACCAGGCTGTGAGGGATCGTCGTCAAAACAACATTTGAATCAGTGAGTAAGTGTATTGTGGTTTTACTCCTCTTTGATCAGTATTTCCGCGATATATGGCGCGCCAGCGTACAACGTGATGGCGAAGGTCATAGCCGTGTTCCACGAGCACTGGTGCTGAAAGGCATAAGAAACCACGGGCAGCGGATCCTGTCAGTATAAGGGACACAACTGAGATTAGATTTGTGGCAACTCGTGATGCGTGGCCCGAAGGTGGATATGATTAAAACACATCTTTACCGATGATCTTGATATCTTTGGTTTCATCAAGCAGCAAGTTTTCTATTTTGAGATCCCTGAAAATATACAAAAAATAGAATAGTGAGAGATAGGTATTATGGTACAATAAACACACAGTACTCAGTAGACCTCTAGAATAATGCATGTTTCTTTGAATTAGGTGAATATCTCCAAAAATGGACGATGCATGTACCGCGCAGCCCTGAAAAAGCACGTGAACTGTACATGCATACCCCCACCCCCCTCTCCCGGGTCCAAGGGGCGGTCGGGTAGCCTAGTGGTTAAAGCGTTCGCTCGTCACGCCGAAGACCCGTGTTCGATTCCCGACATGGGTAAAATATGTGAAGCCCTTTTCTGGTGTCCCCCGCCGTGATATTGCTGGATTATTGCTAAAAGGGGCGTAAAACCAAACTCACACACTCGCTCACACTCCCGGGTCCAGACTTTGGCGTAATCATTTAGAGATGTTCCTTCAATAACTAAGACTAGTTATAAAGTTATAAAGTTAAAGTTACTCCCCACTGATAGGACGTCTATGCTCACATCTCTACTATCTCTACATCATATCATATATTATGTTTTATTCTAACATTTAAAGCTCATGTCTCTTAACGTGCGAATCCCGGTTGGGCCCGATTATGTTTCTAGGTTTGTCAGCACCATACCCGTGCTCGTGGGTTTCATCGAAGTGGTAAACGTCAGAGACCTGCATCACTTCGGGCTTTCTTCCCACAATAAGCTGACACGCCGTGATATAACTGGAATACTGTTAAAAGCGGCGTTAAACCAAACTCACTCACTCACTCACTCACTCTCTTAACGTGGGTGCGTTCTGGCACGGCGATATAATTTATTCCTGACACGTTACATTAGGAATGAAATTCTCAGATAGTACCAGGGAATAGAGCTGAGATCTCCGCCATAAGCCAACACTTTAACCTCTAGGCTACCCCACCGTGCCTTACAGGTCATGTAATCTTAATATCCTTGACCCTTCTACCGGTTGATGAACATGGATGTAAACAATTAATTATTCATATGAGAACAGTGGCGTGGCAATTGAAAACACAGCGAGATGTACATACGACATGCCTGGGTGAACACAGAGAAAGGGATTTGTTACTCTCTAACACAGAAATGTGCCCATATTCACTTATAACTCCGTATTAAACGCGCTTGAACCGCTCTTTGGCCCTTTGGGTGCTCGGTATGTTAAGGATTACGGCAGTTATTGTCTTCATTGTTCAAGATTAATTGTCCGTTTTACGATCATGGATCGACAAGATGTTGACCACGGGTCAATATCGGTCAGTTTGAAACAGGAAGACCCATGAGATATATGACGTCACACAGTCTTTGATTCAGGGCTATCGAGCTGGTATCAAACATAATGCTATTGCATCTGGGACCACTGCCCACTTGCACAAAGCGATCTTAGCGCTACGACTATTTTAAGCCTATGTTAATGTATGGGAGTTACGATCATCTTAGCGCTAAGATCGCTTTGTGCAAGTGGGTCCAGGACGTTCGTCAAAAAACATCGGGGCCCCGTTCCACAAAGCGATCGTAGCGCTAAGATTATCATAACTCTAATATTTAACATAGACTAACGACACTCGTAGCGCTAAGATCGCTTCGTGGAACAGGGCCCTGGTTGTTTTGTTTGTTTGTCTGTTTAACGCCACGCTTAGTAGTATTCGAGCTATATGACGACTTCATGTGAAGAGTCGATCTGGACCAGACAATCCAGTGAATGATTCAGTGAGCAGCGGTCAACGCCGTCGGGGTACGTTGACACACAATCCACTAAGTAAGCAGGCCTGACCACCCGATCCATTTGGTCGCCTTTTAAAACCAGTAGAGGTTGCCGGGGAACCTTTTCTAACCCCGAATCGCCACGGGACGAAATAGAATCTGTTTTCAGCTACCTTCATCACGTCTGTATGAGTGAGTGAGTTTAATCACCAGCGAGTCGTGCCCCCCGTCACTGCCACGTCAGACAGTCGCCTAGCACCCACACAGTGAGTGGTCATTTCAATATCATTCCAGTTACTTCGCGACGCTTCAACTACCGGAGGCAACTCAACACAGCGATTTGCGTTGCATTAGATGAATAGGCCCCCCGTCCGTTTCACAGAGGTTTTTCAATGTGTCGTCTATTTGTCATTCATAAATCTATATATATATGAAAGTGAGAACTTATCAGTCTTACGCAGTTTAAAATAGACAAACGTCGTAAGGCCGAGGCTACTTTTTGAGAGAGTTAAATGCCACTTTGGACAAGCGTACAAAACCCACAAGAAAAATAATCACGGCGAACCGAGATTCGAGCAGATGATCATAGGTTCCTGGTACGCTAAGGGGACGCAACTCTGCAAAGGACAACTTTGTTAGTCGGGACCGTAATAATACATCCTAAGATTTATTCTGGTTTCTCAGTTTGTCAGGAAGACTTAGAGTTGTTAAACTGCTGATGATGTATTAGATGCGACAGAGCACAGTGTGTGATGCGGTCATGCGGTGAAGCCCATTTCTGGTGTCCCCCCGCCGTGATATTGCTGGAATATTGCTAAAAGCGACGTAAAACCACACTCACTCATGCTGTGATGCTGACTATAATTGTTGATGCATCCTTTGTGTTGAGAACCGATGTGGAAATGTGAAATATTTCTCAAAGAACGTGGCGATAGCGATGGCGGTGTGTACTATATATTGCCTCACTTCTTCAGACAGGGGGGCTGGGATTTTGTCTGGAGATTAGATATTTCTTTTCAGCCAAAGCTTCAAAACCAGATATTATTTTAATTAAAACTATCAGCTCAATATCTTTCTAAGAAAAGTACATTGCAAATATGTTATTTCTGTGGCAGTCTGAAGCATTATTATTTTTTTCAAGAATTTTCTGGGACAATATATTTTTTTCGATAAAATTCCGGGCCCCCCAGAGTATGAAATGGTCTGTCCCAAACTTTATTACAGATATGTTTTTCCACTACATTGTATGTACAATCGTTTTGCCGTTTTACAACAAATTGACACGTACCATTTATAATCGTTATTTGCTGTAATCTCGCAAACATATAAGACAATTTGCGGTGTTTAGTTTATCGATGTTCTATCCAAGCAGGGCGTGCCATTGTTGAACTAGAGCTTACGAAACGGAAAAACAGCGATGCCAGCTGGCTGCCTAGGAAACAGGCCAATGCATTGTCTGACAATGTTGAGACAGTGTGGTTTATTCACATACCTTCCTGGTACTCTGTTATAATAGCTTTGTCCTGATGTCTATCGATGTTTATCGAGTTCATCACTCTTCCGCTCACTTTAACACTACGGCTAATTATAACGTTGAATTGTAGAACAAAACCTACACAGAAATAGGCACACTTCTATCAGAATTAGAGGCGGTCGGGTAGCCTAGTGGTTAAAGCGTTCGCTCGTCACGCCGAAGACCCCGACATGGGTACACTGTGTCAAGCCCTTTTTTGGTGTCCCCCGCCGTGATATTGCTGGAATATTGCTAAAAGCGGCGTAGAACCACACTCACTCACTCACGCTATCAGAATTGTGAAAATTAAAAAGTGTTCATAAGTAACACAGATCCATTATAACTCATTTCGTGGTCATATAACATTCATTTGGTCATTGTTGAAGTATTGTATTGTATGAAGATATTATTAGTTATAATGTTTTATTTATGTATTTTATTGATTGTATAATTTTAGGTGTATTTTAGGCCAGTAATGGCCAGGTGTATTATGTACTATTATGTAAACTATATTATTATTATTATTATTATTATTATTATTATTATTATTATTATTATAATTATTATAATATTGTTTCCGGCACTAAACGTCCCAGCATTCCCAGAGTTCAGCATCCATGGCGTCAACACACACAATTACCTGTCTATGTGTTGGGTTGATTGACGCTGGTAACCGAGTAAGCTTCGCCTGGCGGACAACTGCATCCCCGTGTTGATGCTGTAACCCAGCTACTATTCTTCTCAATATTTTCATCTTTCTAACAGGATTGTTTATACAGTTACGATTGAATCGATGCGATTCTTAACGCGTTGGGCTCGACATAAACGACAATTGTTGGCAGAAAAGACACGATGACATGGCGAGGATACTTTCGATGTAGGTTTTATTTTTTATTGTTTACCCTTGTAAATTGTTTGTTATTTTAAGCTGACAAAATCGTTTATGAGTTCTCTTATCACTTGTGATTCTTGCTGTTTTCACGTACCGACTTTGTGAATGTAATTGGACACGCCCCGATAGGCACCTAACCTACACCGTACTTGTTACCAGGCTTTCTGCACATAATGATAGCAAATCAATGGAAGTTTAAAGTAAACAGCGATCGCTTTGTTGCAGAATCACAATATTTGATCAATATTTGTTTTTTTATTCAGAATGTTTAGACATCCGAGTGATGCACATATATACTGCCGCGTGACGGTGACATCACAGAAACGCCCTGATCTTGTAACATCAGTTGTGTGTATCCCCTTGGGGAGAACAGATACCGATATATGGTATATTGGCATGGATAATTACTGTCCGTCCGTGACTAGTGACAAACCGATACTTATGTAATTTATCGATTCATACCTCTAACACAACATCCGGTTGTCATGCGCACCACCCAAGGTGCTGGAATAACGTCGTTTCGAATAACATTGTTAACTATTTGGCGTTTCTGACTATTCCGTACGAAAAGGGCAAAATACGACTTTTAAAGGTAGCAGAATTAATCGAATTTGACTTTGTTTAAAAACAAAACAAAACACAAACACAAACAAAACGAGAAATGTTTCTCATCGTCGTGTGGGTCTTGTAAAACCTAGTGGTTTTTTTCTCCGTTTCCGAATTCAGTCGTTTCACATTTTAGTCTTCAATAAGTGTTATCTTTCCTTTTTGGAATTAAAAACTAACTCTTAAGTTCGTGTCTCTGGTTGTCTTTTTTCATTCATTGTTTTATATCATGGCCATGTACACGCAAAGGTGGTTCAACTGAGAAGATATTAAGCCCGGGCCTTATACGGAGAAGTTTCATGAAGAAAAGAAAGTCTCGTAAAACTTCGTTAATGTTTCACCTTACCTATGCAATATCCCGGCGCGATGTAAATAGTCCACAGCTGAGACAATCTGACGTATATATCGCCGCACTTCTTTTTCTTCTAACTTCTTCCGCTTACAAATGTAATCCATGAGATCTCCGTGCTGACAGAGCTCCGTGACGAGGTAGTAGCTGTTCTCCGTCTCCATGATCTCCAGCAACTGCACGACGTTCTGGTGACGGACCATCTGCAGTAGTCTCCCCTCTCGGCGCAGATTTTTCCGCACATAGGTGTCGCTTTTCGCCCGTTTTTTGTCTATAACCTTAATTGCTACCTGAAAAAAAATGTAGAAATTTGCTTTACAACATATCTGGTTGTATGTCCGAGGGTAGTTCATCGACTTGACATCACAAAGAAATACACTTTGTTCTTAGATTGATACCTGTATTGCCATATCAGCGTTGATGACTGGTGGAAGAAAATCAAAAAGTTCAAGAAATCTGTCTATCCACACACAGGGCCTGTTGAAACGCAAACATTAGCAGCTACAAGATATGGTTACTGCCCATGTCGCAGTCCTTTCATACAGAACTATGACTCTGGTTGTGAACTGGGCCCGTTCTACAAAGCGACCGTAACGCAACGACCGTCGTAAGTCTATGTTAAAGTATGGGAGTTACGATCACCTTAGCACTACAATAGCTGGAATGGACCCCCGGTTTATAGTGACCATGTGTCTTGTAGATGCTATTGTTTGCTTTACAAGCTCCCATGTATCCACCCATTTAATACTTATTGAATCAGGTAGACACTGCAGAATTCAAAGAGAAGGCAGAATCTGTCAACTGTGTAGTTTTAATAATATAGAAGATGAATATCCCACTATACTTGTTTGTCCATTTTACGTTGACCTTAGAAGCCAATTCATCAATTATTACGTTTTCAAGGGTCCTCACTTATATACATTTTACTTTGTAATGAAGACAAAAAATAATACTGCCACAATTAAAAGAAATGTCAGTGTTCATCTTCCTTGCCATGAATCTCAGAAAGCATGCCCTTACTCAACGATTTGATGTTATTTAACAGTTACCATGGCTATTGATGTATATTCTTTTGTATAAATGTACCCTCAACTACCTTACAATAAGCCTATTATTGTTACGATTCTGTTAGTTTGCTTCGTAAATAACAGACTGCACCCCCCTCCCCCCCACCCCCCCCCCACCCCCCTAAACACACAAACACCGCCATACCACCCCCGCCCCTGTGTACTATTTGTTCATGACACTGTGCCTTGCGCTTGAATATATTCTCCCTTCTGAAATATCCCTATCATTGTTGTGTGGCATAGGTTGACCGGCGCTCATCACAGAGAACATAAGACACGGTATTACTGCCAAGGCCACAATCTCGTCCCGTGGTCAGTCTAACATCACCCACTGACCACCGCTGGATCTGCAACTACTGCTTGGCCGGTAATATATACCCCGACACGCACGCACGCACGCGCGCGCGCGCACGCACGCACACAGATACACACAGATACTCTCATGCACGTCGCGCCTTAAGTGTAATCATCTTGAACATGATTTCACCTCACCACCCAACGCGTCTTAAATAACATCACACATGCACCTCAAACGACCCACTTCAAATATACCTGATGTTCGGACCAAACCCGATTATTGCCACGTCTTCCGTGTTTGGTATGTTGCGTTCATCACGCTATGATAACTCTGCCCACTTATTGAGGCCGTGTCGGTCGTGATAACCAGGCACACAGTATCAAAGAACGTGTCTCTGCCTCGTCCTGAAGCAAGCACCCCATGTCCTGTTTCACTTTTACATGCCGCGCACAGGGTATTTACTCGTTGATGTGCTGTACGTGGGGTTATATAAACATATATCACCCAGTGAAGTAATCACTTGACAAATACATACATTGAGATAGAATGTCACGAGTGCACACACTCCACAGCATAAACCTGGCTACCTCGAGGGCCCGACCCCCTGGCAAGGAACTTGGAACACAATTCAGGGCGATATCAGTGTTAAACTTGCCTGTATAAAGACTTAGCGGTTTGTGGTAAGGTTACTTATTCTCTGGCATATTGACCACGAAGTAGGCGTTTACTGTTATGGCCATCTGTGTGTACAGGTAGTGACCAGTTCTGTCTGTGTGCGCACACAAATCGGAAATTGTGTTTGCGCTTGAAGAAGAACTTGATAAAATAATTAAAAAAACAACACCAGTCTTATGCTGCGAGATATGTTAGGGAATAATCGTGATTGATTTATCCTTCGGGCCTAATGGTCTCCGATACAATTGTCCACAATTCTCACCGTCACCCTAACTTCCCACCCCCACCAACCACCTTCACCCCCACCAACCACCGTCACCCAAACTCCCCACACTCACCTCCCACCATCACCCCAACTCCCCACCCCCAACAACCACCGTCACCCTAACTCCCCACCCCCGCCAACCACCGTCACCCCCACCAACCACACTCACCTCCCATCGTCACCTCAACTCCCCACACTCACCTCCCACTATCACCCCAACTCCCACCAACCACTCACCTCCCACCATCACACGAACTCCCCACCCCACCTCCCACCATCACAACAACCCCCAACACCCATCAACCACCGTCACTCTAACTCCCCACCCCACCATCACCCCAGGGGCGGTCGGGTAGCCTAGTGGTTAAAGCGTTCGCTCGTCACACTGAAGACCCGGGTTCGATTCCCGACATGGGTACAATGTGTGAAGCCCATTTCTGGTGTCCCCCGCCGTGATATTGCTGGAATATTGCTAAAAGCGGCGTAAAACCATACTCACTCACTCACTCACTCACCACCATCACCCCAACTTCCAACCCCCACCAACCCCCGTCACCCCAACTCCCACGAACCACCGTCACCCTACCCCTCCCCAACAACCACCATCATCCCCTCAAACCACTCTCACCACCACCTGCCACCCCCACTCCCACCAATCACCATCACCCCAGTGATACACGATCGGTCTCCAAATTAAAGTTTCTATCTACGAGTTATCAACACCTGTGTTGAAAGGTCCCCGAGGTATGTATGCTGGCGTAGCCTGGCTACATGTCCTACTGATGATGGATAGAGTACACTCCGGTTGCAAATAGGGGGCGTGTGTCATCGGGGTTCATTATAAAAGTAATCTAAACTGACTGTGTCAGAACTAGGACAGATCTCAACTGGCGTTCTATAGTCAAATCACGGTGTTACGCGACTATGTATTCATAGCAAGAACGAGCATTCGTGTGTAGCACGAACCCAGTCAAGGCCCGGTGGCAATTGACAGTGTAAGTTGAGTTGTGCTGTCGTTCGTTCGTTCGTGAGTGAGTCTGGTACAACGTCGCTTTGAACAACATTTGAGATATATTGTTATCAAGTATGACTGAGTGCCGCATATTGACATCGCTTTGAACAGTATATCACAAGGGTAACCTAAAAGTGTAGCACGTACTAGATGACAAGCACTCTACTGAAACCCTCGAGCAAGGGTATGGTGCTAACATACTAAAGATTGGCAAGCCTGGGACTGGAACCGACGGTCATCGGATCCTGACACGACTAAGGGGCGCAACTCTGCACACTGAATTGAAGCTACTTGTAGAAAGCGTTGACAAAGAAACAGCTGAGAGGTTACACATAACAATAACATGTACTTGACTGAAAGATCGTACATTGTATGTTCATATTACATTTAGGGTGTCTAACATTGCTTGAATATACGAAGAATTAAAACACCGTGTGCTTGGCGCAATTTGTTCCACAATATGCGGCTGGACGTCTACAATTGACAACGACCTCGTGCATTGGACGTGCAACAATTCCCCGCGACTTCGCGTGCTGGCTAGTGATATGGATAATGCAAACATCACTGCGCCAAAACAAACATAACAGAGAGATACTGGTTTGTTCAAACAGGAACAGCAGGAATACATGACATTTATCTGATACCATTGTTCGCTGACTTGTTGACGTCAGTGGTATTGGCTTGTCCGGCTGTTATCACTGTTTACTGCAATGTTCCCCGCCGGATCCACACTATCCACAATACACATGTACGTGCTGTTCCCCGCTAGACCCACGCTAGCCACAATACACACGCACGTGCTGTTCCCTACTAGATCCACACTAGCCATAATACATATGCACGTGCTGTTCCCCGCTAGACCCACGCTAGCCACAATACACATGCACGTGCTGTTCCCCCTAGACCCACACTAGCCACAATACACACATGCTGTTCCCCGCTAGACCCACGCTAGCCACAATACACACATGCTGTTCCCCCTAGACCCACGCCAGCCACAATACACACATGCTGTTCCCCGCTAGACCCACGCTAGCCACAATACACATGCACGTGCTGTTCCCCACTAGATCCACACCAAATACAATACACAAGTGCTGTTTCCCGCTAGACCCACAATATTCCACGTGGCGTTTGCAGTGACCTTGTCTGACTAAAGTTTCAATGTCGAGTTCCGACCTACGGCCATCATCTGGAACAATCATGGTGGCCGTGACACTGTTGGCACCAACACGTGGACAGTGCGCGCTGCAGTAGTTCCCCAGCCTCCCCCGCCACGTGCTGGGGAGCGTGATGAACGTCCATGTGCATCCCTGGTGACAGTGTCGCCGGTGTCAACTTCAACACTAATGATTCCACTTTTCACAAAGACAGTAGACAAACGGAAATCAATAGTTTATAAACGCAGTATGTGTCAGCCATGCTGGCAGCGTGTACAGTTTACATACACTGCCTGATCACACTTGTCATGAGAAAGTGAACGGCATACACTCCCAGCTTCATGTGGAGTGAGTGTGTTTAGTGTTGTAAACATATTCCATCAATATCACGGTGGGTGAACCCAAGAACGGGCTCGTCACATGGAACCCATGTGAGGAATGGAACCCGGGATTACGCCGTGACGAGCCAGGGCTTTTACCACTAGGCCATCCCATCGCTCCACTGTATGTAGAGAAAGTGGGTGAGCGATTAAGTTAGGGTTAGGTGTTGACAGCTAATAGTCAATATGACGTAGTTCACAGACAGCATTTAAACATAGTTCCATTAACAGTGGTGGAAGGGTATGTGCGGGGATATAGGTCGCATAACGCTACACCTGACCTGACCATTAACCCGACAGAGCGTGGAGCAATCGAACAAAGTGATCTGAATGAGAATTCAAGCTTTGATCCTGGCGTAATGGAGGGGAAAGTATAATTAACTACCATATACCAGAGCTAGATAAACACATTACAATGGAATGGTTTCTGTTTCCAGTCCCGAACACATTCAGGGAACACATTCAGGGAACGCATTCAGGGAACACATTCGGGGAACACATTCGGGGAAATACATTCGGGGAACACAATTAGGGAAAAGATTCAGGGAACACATTCGGGGAACACAATCGGGGAATTTTTTCAGGGAACACATTTAGGGAACTTATTCAGGGAACAGATACAGGGAACACATTCGGGAAATTTATTCAGGGAACACTTTCGGGGAACTTATTCAGGGAACACTTTAGGGAACACATTCGGGGAACACTTTCGGGAACATATTCAGGCAACCCATTCGGGGAACACATTCAGAGCCAGGTTCTCATTACGCCACAAGTCAACAAGTTAAGTTCTGACATTTGCAACACAATAGGAGACTAGATTATTCAGTGAGTCTCCAATAATCTGAAGATATTGATCTTGGAAACAGGCTAATTGACATAGGATGTGCGGGATTTACGGTGTATTGTCATAAGGTCAACCAGGAAGTGAATCTTGCCAACGCTGCCCGCCCCGAGGCAGAAGACGTCAGGGAAGGCTGCGGTACACGTCACTGTTATGATGGGAATCTGGGCATTAGGTTCAGGGCCACCGCTGTAACGATGGATGCTTTATGCTGCTGTACATCAACAGGGACAGGTGAACGCGAGATGTGATCTGAACCTAATCACCTGGTTCGACCGAGGCCACTCTCACCCCCGGGGAGACACTCGAAAGTAACGGGCACCTTGTAGCGAACTATTGAGGCAGGAGTTATTAGTCATTGATTACATTCCCTGCCCCTCCGAGCTAATATAATATTTACGACACGGCAGATGTAAACAGCAACGCGGACAGTGAAGCAATTCTGCAGTTGCCAAAAAAACCAAACGGTGCATGATGGAAAGCGAAACACAGTAAACTCTCTTCAACTCGAACTTGCGTTACTCGATACACCGATATATCGAGTATAACTGGCTTGACTGGGGATCCTTATCGGTACTACGATTTAAGATCGGGCCCCGTTTATTTCAAACTTTGGCCTAACACCGGATCCCCGTTTGTCTCGAATTTCGGTTTAACACCACTGCCCTACACCCACCTCCCTTCGTGTTTAATTTCGGTTAACTCCGGTCTCCCATTGTCTCGTTGTCTTTTTAAGTAAGGATAAGAATCTACGGATAAACAACTTCTTTATTACAATTAAGAGCGACGTTTCGGTGTAGGTTCTAACACCTTTATCAAGCAAATGTTAGAACCTACACCGAAACGTCGCTCTTAATTGTAATAAAGAAGTTGTTCATCCATAGATTCTTATCCTTAGTTAGTACTCCAACTTCTAAATGCCTATCAAAGAAGTTATTCGTTGTCTTTTTAATTATGATTTACTCGCTACTTGTTAACGAGGCTTTACGATAACATGTTTATACCTCGCCAAACTAGGCACAACAAACTCTTATCTCACAGCAGAGCATCTGACAGGCTTACATGTCCCTGATACTGATAAATTCCTGTTTGTGTCTATACGTCATGATATAACTGAAATACTGTGGCATAAACCACAACTTCAAGACAACCCCCTTCCCAACACTGCAACCAAACTGACCCGTGAAGATCCGGGGTAGAATAGGTCTTCAGCAACCCATGCTTGCCGTAAAAGGCGACTATGCTTGTCGTAAGAGGCGACTACCGGGATCGGTGGTCTGGCTCGCTGACATGGTTGATGCATGTCATCATATCCAGCAGCGTGGATCGATGTTTATGATGTCAATCACTGGATATTCTGTCCATACTCGATTATTAAGAGACCGCCGTCATATAGCTGAACTATTGCTGTGTGCGGCGTTAAGCATAAAACAAACAAAACAGTCTCTGTGTCGATGTATGTATAATGTGTTCATGTCGTCATTCTGGTATTACCTTCTCTCCCGTGGGGATGTGCAGGGCTTCCTTCACCTTAGCGAACGACCCCTCCCCTAGCGTCTTGCCCAGCAGGTAGTTCCCCACCTTCTTGGTGTGGGCGAAGTTCTTGATGGTATCCTTGGGAACATCCACCACCTTGTCGGGGAGGTGTTGGGCAGGGGTCAGGGATGACGTCACGGTCATCTCAGATAATCGTCCAGGTTCGCGCATCACCACATTCAGGGGGTCAGTGTGACGTTCTACCACACCTGGAAAAAGAGTGAGTGAGTGAGTTAAAGTTTAACGTCACATCGGCAATAGGTTTAGCCATGTCGTGACGACCTGAACATAGAGACATTGATATAGGCACAGAGTTACACCAAGGGTGTCATGTTATGGAAATTACACTTAATAGTAACCGACAGGCAAACCAAGTCAAACAGAAACATTCATTCAAATGTTATTTAAAGGTTCACTGTATGAGTGCGTGAATTTGTTTTAACGCTGTTTTGACACATCACGGAGTCTCAGCATGGCGTTAAAGCAAACCATTATCCATTAGTTATCCATTTCTGATATGTTTACCCCTTTGGTGAAACCCACGGGCACGGATAAGGTACTAACAAACCCAGAATCATGATCTGGGCTAACCTGGATTCGAACCTCGCGATTCAAGGGGCGCAACTCCACACAGCGAATTGCGGCGCCTTAGACGAGAGACCCGTGCTCCATTGCGGTATTGAAAAACATGATTTACAGGGTGCGTCAAAACTATAGCATTACTGACTGAGTATGGTTTTACGCCGCTTTTAGCAATATTCCAGCAATATCACGGCGGGGGACACCAGAAATGGGCTTCACACATTGTACCCATGTCGGGAATCGAACCCGGGTCTTCGGCGTGACGAGCGAACGCTTTAACCACTAGGCTACCCGACCGCCCCACTATAGCATTAAGAAAGCGAAGCCCATAATATATTTGGATATCAAACGACATTTGATCCCTGCATCCAATCCACTAATCCTTCCCGGAGCATGTAAATGTTGATTACATGGAGGCAATACTCTCTTTTTACATCTTTAACGCTGATGAGTGTACCTTTGACTCGAAACCACGTCGTCAGTATGGACAAACAGAATTGATATTGCTCACGTTTACAGCCTAAAGAGGAGGTCACATAGCCCATTCCTTTACACGATATACACATAATAGTCCTATATATGTCTCAGACGTACGTAACCAATACCAGTAACGGTTTTCATCAGTGAACTGTGATAAAACGTATTGTTGACTAATGCTTAGTCTCTAGAATATATTTTGATAGAAACAAAATAAATCCATTTAAATTAAAATTAAATTTATATTGAAAAGTGAGATGGGAGATTCAAAACTTGAACTGGAGAAAATCTAGACTTGCTTCATTTAGGGCTTTTGCATTACAGAAAGGGCTGGAAGGGAAATAATATGGTGAGACAGACTAGACGTTCTAGACTAGACTGTGAGACAGTGAGTGATTGAGCATGGTTTTACGCCGCTTTTGGCAACATTCCACCAATATCACGGCGGGGGACACAAGAAATGGGCTTCACACATTGTACCCATGTCGGGAATCGAACCCGGATGTTCGGCGTGACGAGCGAACGCTTTAACCACTAGGCTACCCGACCGCCCCTCTGTTAGACAGACTAGACGTACTAGTGCATTGGGGTAATAATACATGTTCATTTTTATAGTAAATACGTCTCACACAACAACAATACCATTGTGGTAGATATCCAACATAAACGTCAAACAGTAGGTACAGTAGAATAAAGAATATATATACGAGGTTCGAGTAGCAGGATTGTACCGCCACTGCTGTTAGGCGTCACGAGACCAAAGCCTCACCTGAAACACGTGTGTTTGTGAACACTGAGACCATCTAAACTTACCTGGGTGACGCTCTCCGTGAAAGTACTACCTCTCTCCCTTGGCTAACCCGAAACACTGGATCATATCACCCGGTTAAAAAGTGAATCTCTTAGCAACAGTTCAAGTTGAAAATCCGCATAATCCGTGAAAACTGGGGTAATATCTCTAAACGGGTTGCCGTGAGGTAGTGGAGGTGTGTTAAGCCCGTGTCTAGCGTTCCCTGGGTAAACACAGACTGTACCCCGGCCCCCTTCACTATCTCAAGAGGAAACGGCCTTATCTGACTCTCACAGCGCCCTTCCGTGAGATGTGGCGGGTCAATAATCTTGTCACAACTACAACACGACCGCAGTATCACGGACCGAGTCCAACTATAGCTTTCTCCGTGCTTGTGGCAGAGCGCGCTAGTGACGTTATAGTGTTACGTGCTGCAATAAAATAAAACATGTTTTGTGTCTTACATTGTTGTCTTTTGCTGGAATAGAATGACGTTTGGCGCGTCTGGTATTGTTGATATAGTATCATGAGAATCACTTTCAGGTTAACACGAATCGATACGTTTTGTTTGTTTGTTTGCTGTTTAACGCCGCACTCAGCAATATTCCAGCTATATGACGGCGGCCTGTAAATAATCGAGTCTGGAACAGACAATCCAGTGACAGACAACATGAACATCGATCCACGCAATTGGGATCGATGACATGCATCAACCAACTCAGCGAGCCTGACAACCCAATCCCGTTAGTCGTCTCTTACGACAAGCATACTGACAGAATACGATCCCATTTTAATTGTCCGACCATGATGTAAACACCTCCTCGGTAACTGTCGCACCATTTAAATCCCGTAGCATGTCTCAACTGTCGGCATTCAGACAATCTCGGGTTTTTACATACAACAACCACGGGAAAGTAATGCACTGAATGCGTTGGGTCGCTTAAAGCCACATTTCCCTCTACTGTAACCTCTGTCAATAAAGCTACCCAGTTAATTCAAATCGTGGTTCTTTCAACTCAATTGAAAATGCAATATCAATCCGAAAAGTCGACTAAACTATTTTCTGTGAATAGAAACAGCGGACATAGCGTCGATATATGCTTACAAACTGATGCATACAAAACAGAACCACGGTATACAATGCTCCAGTGTTCGAGTACGGTGCGTCAGTAATAGGTAGGCTTTACAGTACATCGTTACGTATGAATACCCTGATCACATAAAACATCATTTACAAACGAACAAATACATTCCATTTGCGTTGAGTCGTATTGGAATTTCGTTTAGTCAATCGACAGGATCCATATTACGTGGTGTGTCCAGTCTTTCTTCTCCCGTGCTGATGTCTCCGTGTTGTTAACAACGTCAACTTCACTACGTGTCCCATACATCATCTACACGGCGGCAACTCGCGCGTTTCACATCTATTGTTTCTCTTCCCATTGTTACCATAGCTGTCTATACGCACGACAGTATCAAACACTGCAGCCGTTCACAATGGTAATAGAGTACCAACAAATGAGTTTTCTACAACGCTTCACTAAACATTGTCTCTGAACGTATTCCTGTCACACTGTCAGTGAAAGCGATTGAATGGAACGAATATTTTGAAAGCAATTAAATCAAGACAAATACACTTGTATATAATTTCGTGCATACCCAAGAGTAGAGCGTCCGCCCGGAGAGCGGAAGGTCCGGGGTTCGAACCCGGGTCGCGTCATATCAAAAGACGTTAAAAGATGGTACTTGTTGCTACCCTGTCTGGCGCTCGGCATTAAGGGGCTAAAACAAGGACTGGTCGGTTCTTAGTCAGTATACTGTGTCTGAGTTAGGTAATCATGTTAAACTGTGGCATGGTATCTCGGTGGGCTAGCACTATAAATCAGCATCAGTCCAGACTAGTACAAGCAGCCACACACACACACACACACACGTGCATGTACGTCGCTATATAAGTGTAATAATCTTGGACGCGACGTTAAACCCAATTTCACCTCACCTCTGACGTGTCCTCACATACCTGTGAGAATATCTTGTATACACCATTAACCCCTGTTCCGCAGCATGTACTCAACACATTTTCCACCCTAGGAGACGTGAGGGTCCCTAATTGCCTGTATGTTAGTCTAATACTTGTACAGATACTGTTGCAATGACGGCAGAGATATCCGACTTTAGTTCCACTAAATACTAATACTCCCACAACAAGCTCCTTGTACTGACAACACTCACGCCTTCAGCAAAGTCATACGCTGACATACGACGTGATACACCGATATACGATGTGATACACAGATATACAGTGGGATGCAATGATATACGATGTGATACTCGGATTCCAGATGTCATCCAGTGAAATGCGATGTGGTTTCAGGCAAATACAATATGATACATGATATACGATATAATGCAAGGATATACAATGTGATACAATTACATACAATGTATACCGTGATATACGATGTGATATAGCTAAATAAGATGTGGTGCAATGATATACGATGTGGTACAGAGGTATACGATGTAATCCAGTGAAATTAGATGTGTTTTAGGCAAATACAATATGATACACGATACAATGATATGCGATGTAATACAAGGATATACAATGTGATACAGTGATATACGATGTGATATAGCTAAATAAGATGCGATGCAATGATATACGATGTGGTACAGTGGTATACGATGTGATACACGATACCATGCTATGCGATGTAATACAGGGATATACAATGTGATACAATGATATGATATGATATCCGATGTGATATAGCTGAATAAGATGTGGTACAATGATATGCGATGAGATACAGTGATATACGATGTTATATAATGATATGCGATGTGATACAGTGATATACGATGTGATATAGCTAAATAAAATGTGATACAATGATATACGATGTGATACAGTGATATACGATGTGATGCACCACACCATGCTATGCGATGTAATACAGGGATATACAATGTGATACAATGATATGATATGATATCCGATGTGATATAGCTGAATAAGATGTGGTACAATGATATGCGATGAGATACAGTGATATACGATGTTATATAATGATATGCGATGTGATACAGTGATATACGATGTGATACACGATACCATGATATGCGATGTAATACAAGGATATACAATGTGATACAATGATACACGATGTGATACAGTGATATACGACATGATACAGTGCTATACAATGTGATGCACGATACCATGATATGCGATGTAATACAATGATACAAGATGTGATACAATGATACACGATGTGATACAGTGATATCCGATGTGATATAGCTGAATAAGATGCGATACAATGATATACGACATGATACAGTTAAATACGATGTGATACAGTGATATACTGTGTGATACAATGATATACGATGTGATATAGCTAAATAAGATGTGATACAATGATATTCGATATGATATAGTTATAGACGGTGTGATAAACTGATAAACGATGTGATAAACAGATATACGATGTGATACATATATAGGCGATGGGATACAAGGGTATACACTGTCATACACATACATGTATATGCAATGTGATACAGTGATATACGATGTGGTACACATATATACGATGTGATACACGATCCCGCGATATGCGTTTTAATGCAATACAGTGATTGGTATACGAAGTGTGACAATGACACACAATGATATAAAGTGTGATATCACGCAATATAATGATATCCAATGTGGTGCGATATATCCAGGTCGGACAAATCAAATACACTGCCAGGCAAAAGAAAGTATACACTTGGATTAGACCAACAAACTACAAGGATAGGTGTTACTAGGCTGAACACAGTCGCCGAAACAATCCACACTTAAAGTCCAAAGCTATGATACCCGTATCAAATACATCACCATTGAATAACCATTTTTTATTTGGTATATTTTAAGCTACCTACAAACATGGGTGTATACATTCTTTTTCGCAATTTACATACACATTCGGACTAAGGAAACTGTCAAAACGCTCCGTGGTACCATCGGTACGAGAGCCACCAAGGCGGAACAACATCAACGAAGAACTGTCAGAGACAAGCGATTATTTCTTCCCAAGTTATTTCAAAGGTACATAATATATCACAAGATAAAAAAAATAAAATAAACTTGACTGCAACTTGTTTTGCTTCTAAGAAGACACACAAATTGACATTATTGTAATCGTCCACGACAGAAACAATACCTACCCATGCCAGCGTAAGTAAATTGTCCCTCGATGTCCCTCCACCGCCTGTCCCCTGGTCACTTTGCCCCGGTATGTCTACCTAGTGCCTGATGTACGCTGCCCCGCGCGGGTCTCCACAGGGGGGTGTCTTGTCACGTATTGATTTGTAGATTCACAAGTAAATACACACGGAGATACTAAAACAGATCCTCGGAATACTTCTGTAAACGTATCTCTTCTCCCCCGCGAACAAAGAGTTTTACAAGTCCAAAGATAAATATGTTGTGGTTGATAGATGCATGTAAATAAAGCGAAGGCTGGGCTGGATAGTATCAATATAACGGCGTGCACATCTCGTCCTATGGTAGTAGCAGGTATGTCAACAGTGCACACTGTCATCTATACCTGTATGGATATGTGTCCATGTGTCTTGACACTTGACACTGGGGCCTTGATGACTTGCATTATTACTTGCGATCACGTTACTGATAACTTATGTTGTTACTGATAACTAACAGCTGATAGGTGAGTAATCATTTTCGTTTTGTCCTACTTTCCTAGACTTATCAACATTGACAATCTGAGTGAATGTTTCAATGGTATCACGATAGCTCAGTTTTATGTTGGGCGGTGGAGTAGCCCAGTGGTTAAAGTGTTCGCTCGTCACGCCGAACATCCGGGTTTGATTCCCCTCATGGGTACATTTCCGTGTTCATATTGCTGGTATATCGCTAAAAGCGGCGTAAATCCATACTCACTCACTTGAAATGAAATGAAAGCCCGAAGCGCCACAGATCGCGGACGTTCCCCGATTTGGTGAAAGGCACGGGAATGGTGCGATGGGGCCAAGAATCATTATGAGGGTTGATATAGGGTTCCAGCACTGCTACCACCCGTGAGCGTTACTACAGCATGACGCAGACAACTACACATTTACACAGAACCCCTGTACGAGTTTAGTTACCACATACTGGCAGTTCAATCGATTTAAAATGAGAGAAATACAAACTCGCCATTACGCACGGTTCTGCAAGTTGTATTAAAATTAGAAACGATGATGTTCAGGATATTCATATTCACATCTCTGTCAAAAACGAAACCAACAGAGTCCAAGCAACTGTCATACACAGCCATACAAAATATTGCATCAAATACATCACTACCGAATAACCATTTCTTGTTTGTTTCATTTTAGCCACCATCAAACAAAAGGGGTGCTGACGGTCGTTTGCCCGGTTGTATATGAACCCCTGTGGAATGGTTTCTGTGGAATCTTGTGTAAGAACCCCCTGGTTTCAAGGCCCCCCTGTCGGCCGCCTCACGTTATTGAATCCAGCATGGAGCGATGCTATCACCGGTTTAATTAAGAAAGGGGAGGCTATTAATATTGGATTGTTTCGGAAATCGCTAGGGAAAGGAGAAGCATTGTTTACTCGTAACCAAGCATTGTTAATACCACATTTACTTTCACGGCTGGGGAGTTACACAGAGATAAATACGGACAAACGCCGAGCACAGCGTTTCAACAAACCCTTGTCATGAAGCCTCGATGTCCAACACTTGTCTCTGCTCATATTGAGAGGATGATCGCGCAGACTTGCGTTAATTCAGCATATAGCAATAGGTGGGCGGACCAGTATCAAGGCCACTATTAATGGTGGGCGTTCGCTTAAAGGGAGCATGTGATATTATGTCGAATCTATTCATATATATAGTGAAGTGTAGTAATTTTAACCGTTCGATAACACATACATCTTGACTGATTGTCACCTACATCACATCACCCGTGACAAAATCTGACTGTCGTGCATCCGGGCAGCGTTGGACTGTTACCTCACCGTACCCATGACAACGCTGGACCGAATGTCACGTCACCGTACTCGTGACAACACTAGGACCACTGCCACATCAACTCACCGTTAACGTGACAACACTGGACCGACTGTCACGTGACATCACCGGACGCGTGACAACACTGGACCGACTTCACCTCACATCAGCGAACCCGTGACAAAATCTGACTGTCATGCATCCGGGCAGCGTTGGACTGTTACCTCACCGTACCCATGACAACGCTGGACCGAATGTCACGTTACATCACCGGACGCGTGACAACACTGGACCGAATGTCACGTCACTGTACTCGTGACAACACTAGGACCACTGCCACATCAACTCACTGTACCCGTGACTACCCCGGACCGACTGTCACGTCACATCAAAGTCCCCGTGACAACACTGGACCGATTTCACCTCACCTCACCGTACCCGTGACAACACTGGACTGACTGTCACGTCATATAACCGGACGCGTGACAACACTGGACCGACTTCACCTCACATCAGCGAACCCGTGACAAAATCTGACTGTCATGCATCCGGGCAGCGTTGGACTGTTACCTCACCGTACCCATGACAACGCTGGACCGAATGTCACGTTACATCACCGGACGCGCGGCAACACTGGATCGAATGTCACTTTACAACACCGGACGCGTGACAACACTGGACCGACTGTCACGTTACATCACCGCACCCGTGACAATACTGGACCGACTGTCATGTTACATCACAGGACGCGTGACAACACTGGACCGACTGTCACGTCACAGTCCCCGTGACAACCCTGGACCGACTGTCACGTCAAATCAAAGTCCCCGTGACAACGATGGACCGACTTCACCTCACATCACCGTACCCGTGACAACACTGGACCGACTGTCACGTTACATCACCGGACGCGTGACAACACTGGACCGAATGTCACGTTACATCACCGCACCCGTGACAACACTGGACCGAATGTCACGTCACATAACCGTACCCGTGACAACACTCGACCGACTGTCACCTCACATCACCGAACCCGTGACAACACTGGACCGAATGTCACGTTACATAACCGTACCCGTGACAACACTGGACCGAATGTCACGTTACATCACCGGACGCGTGACAACACTGGACCGAATGTCACGTCACATAACCGTACCCGTGACAACACTGGACCGACTTCACCTCACATCACCGAACCCGTGACAACACTGGACCGAATGTCACGTTACATCACAGTACCAGTGACGACACTGGACCGAATGTCACGTCACATAACCGTACCCGTGACAACACTGGACCGACTGTCACCTCACATCACCGAACCCGTGACAACACTGGACCGAATGTCACGTTACATAACCGTACCCGTGACAACACTGGACCGAATGTCACGTTACATCACCGGACGCGTGACAACACTGGACCGAAGGTCACGTCACATAACCGTACCCGTGACAACACTGGACCGACTGTCACCTCACATCACCGAACCCGTGACAACACTGGACCGAATGTCACGTTACATCACAGTACCAGTGACGACACTGGACCGAATGTCACCTCACATAACCGTACCCGTGACAACACTGGACCGACTGTCACCTCACATCACCGAACCCGTGACAACACTTGACCGAATGTCACGTTACATAACCGTACCCGTGACAACACTGGACCGAATGTCACGTTACATCACCGGACCCGTGACAACACTGGACCGAATGTCACGTCACATAACCGTACCCGTGACAACACTCGACCGACTTCACCTCACATCACCGAACCCGTGACAACACTGGACCGAATGTCACGTTACATAACCGCACCCGTGACAACACTGGACCGAATGTCACGTCACATAACCGTACCCGTGACAACACTGGACCGACTGTCACCTCACATCACCGAACCCGTGACAACACTGGACCGAATGTCACGTTACATAACCGTACCCGTGACAACACTGGACCGAATGTCACGTCACATAACCGTACCCGTGACAACACTGGACCGAATGTCACCTCACATCACCGAACCCGTGACAACACTGGACCGAATGTCACGTTACATCACCGGACGCGTGACAACACTGGACTGAATGTCACGTCACATAACCGTACCCGTGACAACACTGGACCGACTTCACCTCACATCACCGAACCCGTGACAACACTGGACCGAATGTCACGTTACATCACAGTACCAGTGACGACACTGGACCGAATGTCACGTCACATCACCGAGACAGCTTCTGACACGCCATGTTACACATTTGCACCTGATATTGTGTGTTTATTGTCTGTAATTGACAGTAGCGCCTACTCAACACAAAAAAACCCGTCAACATGATGCTGCAGAATTAGTCAGATAACGGGACGCCAAGATAAGATAACCTGTCAAGCATTGCAACAAGCGATCTATAATTGACCGGGAAGGTTCACGTGGGTTCAGGTTTATGAATGAAAGCTAACATGCATACATCATGGAAACTGCGAAATATTAAGATGACATTTTAAAACAAAATAGATTATTCATACTAATTTTGAACGCCAGTTGTAAACATACCATGACGAAATGCGTCACTTTGTTCTGCAAACTGTACAACTTGGTCAGTGAGACAACACCCGTCATCAGAACAAACATGTCATCAAGTACAAGCTTGTCAACAATCAATCGAGGGGTAATCGACTGATCTAAATATCGATCATCTCCAAGACCTGAGATGCGTGTCGGAGGAACCGTTTCATGTTGCTGAGTGATTTCACGTGTAAACATGACTGGCAGGTATTGATAAAGAGGCTGTTAGTACTATTATATGTCAACGACTGATGCGCTCCAAGACAGGCCATTTCACGTGCTTGTATATTTAAAAAAAAAAATCGATTTTGTTTTATTTTCCCTTGGAACAGTAGTTCAAGGCGTGTCAGTATGCATAGCAGAAAAGCAGATTATAGACGCGTGTCACTGTTTGTAGGGCGTCGATAGACGACGCAGTGAGTGAGTGAGTGAGTAAGTGAGATAGGTTTAACGCTGCTTTGAACAGTCCATTGGTTATGTTACGGCGTGTCAGCTTGATATGGGAGGAAAGCCCGAAGTGATGCAGGTCTCGGGCGTTTACCACTTTGGTGAAACCTACGAGCACGGGTATGGTGCTGGCAAACCTAAAAACATAATCAGGACTTGTCTGTGATAAGAACCCACGAACAGAGGTTACAGTCACGCGTAATGTGCGCAGCTCGATACAGGACAACACGTGCCTCTAGACCACCAAGGGACATAATCGGGACGAGCCCGCGATTCGAAGCCATGATAGGCGGATCCTGTCACAACTAAGGTGCGCAACCCATGCTCCTGTTATATAATACTATCATAAAGAAACCATGAGATGAAGTCAATAAAGACGTGTTTGTTGATGAATGCCACGGTACTCAGCCTTCTTAATGCACATTAAAAGTAATTAAAGCCTATCACATAATTTGTATTAAAAAGGTTTGTTGCCAAACGCCAGACAGCATTTCTACTGCCATATGAAAATGAGAGACA